AAACTAGATGATCTTAAGGTCTTTTCCAACCCTAACTATTTTATGGTTCTGTGGTTCTGTGATTCTAATTACTTATTTTGCCTTAGACTTCAAGGAATTTGCAAAATTTTATTCATTATAGACTTCCTGTATCCAGGTTTAATTCAGAATTGATAAGACGTTACTAGCATGTGATGTCCTGGGACTTGAACAAGAAAAATAAATAGCTACTTAATATTGTAATGAGGTGTGTAATTTGTGAACATACTTTGTGACCGCTGTGCCATCACAGCTGCTATTAAAAGACGTCGTGGATTTTTGTAAAAGACTAACTAGTTGAAGTGTGATAAGAACTGTACAGTATCTTTTATAGTGTCAGCTGAAGATGAATATTTATTTCAGTAACCTTCCATGTCATCTGTGTGTGTGATGTGGTATTGCAATTTTCAAAGAAATTTCAAAGTAACATTGGATATTTTGTAATAATAATTGTTTCCCTTTCATTAACTATACAGATCCATATAGGTGCATTCTACTCTTGTTCTTCTTAGGTAATATCTAACATCCTGTATCTGTTAAGACCTACAGTTCTAATCTTTTTCTTGTACTAGTGACTCTTCTATGTTGGTTTTGAAAAATGAGTTAATATTTCGTGCTGGTGGCATTCTTGTCTCATTGTTCCATCCATTATTCTATTCCTCTGCAGCAGTGTAAATAAGTACATGATTTTCTTGGTACTTATTAGGAAACATCATACTAACCTTTAGTCAGTTTATTAGTCTGTGTGAAGATTAAAAGAAAACCCCAGTCTACAACAAAACCAAAGTAGAACTGTATACATCTTAAACCAGAAAAATGTGAACGAACATAATGAAAAGGTTTTTTTGACAGTGTGTTCCTTAAAGCTTTCTAACACTTGTATTTCCAGGGTTACCTTGAAGAATTGGTACGACTCAGAGAAAACCAGCTATCTGAATCTGTCTCACAGAATAAACTACTGTTACAAAGAATTGAAGATATGGACCTAGCCCATAAAATGGAGAAGGAACAGCTGGAATATATAATTGTGGAACTGCAAGACCAGTTGTAAGTTAGTAGAATGGAGAAACATTGTTAGAGCAGTATTAGTTAAATTATTTAACTTATTTTACTATACAATACAAAGAACTTGTGGTCCTGTAGAAATGAATGAAACTTCTTAAAGGAATGGGTGTGTTTTAGCTTTTTTTTTCTCCATGACAAGTCTTAAAGTCTTCAGAAATGGCTCCCCTGAAAACTGCTTAGAATAATTTTAAGATAAACTTAAATTTTTTAATCTGAAATAGCTTACAATAAACTTGCTTAAACTTTTAACACATTTTTATAAATATTTTTTATTCCGGCTTTAAGGCTACCCTTTAAAAATGGAAGCAGCTTCCTTTTGAGCACTATTTTTAAAATGTTAGGCAGGAAAGGTTAAAGAAATATTTATTTTGTTTGCATAGATTCTATTTTATTTGCACGTGGCTCAGACTCAGTAAAAAGTAATCTGGTCTTAAAAATATTCAAACTGATTAAGCAGTTTCCTACTCACTGTTTCTTCAATGCAAGCCAAAATGCTAAAACAACAGGAGAAGGCTTAATTTTTTAATAGTGTACGTCATGACTAATATGATAAATATTCCAGTATCTTGTGATCATAGAATCACAGAATAGTTAGGGTTGGAAAGATCTTAAGATCATCTAGTTCCTTAGATAGTTATCCTCCTGTTCCTGTCTGTTGGATAGGAAGGTACTGTCCTTTTGCAGAGATACTCCCTTGTAATGTCTAAAGATCCAGATAGATGGAAGACCTACTGTGTGGTGACAGGTTGCCATGAGACTGCTACAGTATGCATCTGCAGTAAGTGTATGTTCTGTTCATAACAAATATAAGATAAATTACCTTATATTTGGAGTAATTTGTATGTGTCTGAGCCCTGAAGTAAAATGGAAGTAGTCTGTGGCCTTTGAAGCAATACAGGCTTTTCTGTCTTGCAGTAGATAATTTTATTGCCAGTACTTGGAATGGATTTTATGAAACTCCTCAGGAACACAGCATTTGCACTTTATTTTTGACAATTTCAGAGTTGAGGAAGAAGAAAAGATGTTTGGTTGTGTTTTTGTTTTTTTTTTATGATTGCCTGCAAGATTTTGAGGGATACCTGTCACTGATTTCTTTTCTGAATTTGCTGATACAGCTAATGATTCATGTTCTACTTCTTTGGCCTCCCTTATTATCTGGGGGAAGTGGAGGGAAGGTATGAGCTCTTTTAAACCCACTCTGTTACTGGAATTATTGAACAGACCTGCTGTTAATTTTTAGCCAAGCTATATGCAGTCAGACTGTTCTAAAAAATCTCAGTCTTTGGGGTTTGATTTTTGTTTGCTTTCTTATGTGAAGGCTCAAGTATGAAGCAGTTTCTGTTGTATCTTGACAGTGTGTTCTTACATAGCTGTTTGTGAGAAACTGCAGTCAGGAGCTTGGACTACACTAGGTAGTTGGAGTGAGAGGTATGATTTTGCATTGTTATCGCTGTGAGTATAGTGTGCCTGTCAGATGAACTCTTAAAGTGTGTTAGAAACTCGTAGCTCCTTACTGGGGAGAGAGAAGGGAAGAAATATTCCTACTAGCAGGTTTCCGATTGTTAACACCAGTCATAATTAACATCTTTTAATCACTCTTTCCGACTTGTTTTCTTGTTTTTTCATATCTTTTATTCTGACCCAGGATGACCTGGCAGCAGAACATGTTGTATCACTTATGTGCCTGTAATATTTTGGCCAATTGGTTTTTTGGCCAAATTGCTTTTTATTTCCAAGCTGTTTTAGAATAGTGTTCACATAATTCCAAATTTTAGTGTTTTGCTCTCCTACTGTTAGTAGCATTTTGGAGTAGTGAATATGTGCTGTAATCTGTTTGAATTCTTTATTAGCAGGTAAGAGCAAATTTGGGATTATAATTCTGCCTGAGGCATACTACATTACTGTTTGTAAAACACTTTGAGATCTGATTTAGGATCATTTGCTGTGTAATGGAAACTATTTTAAATAAACATTCTATATTTCCTTTTTAATGATGCTTTTCAATTCCACTGGCTGTTGTTAAGGTAGCAAGGTCTACCTTTTCAAGCTTGTGTTTAGTGTTTGTTGACGCTTTCAAATGGTATTTCACAGGCCTGCAAAATGTTTTACGTATGATCTTAATGGATTTTAAATAACTTACAGAGAAACTTTTCCATATTCACATTTAATAAGGCAGTTTGCTGTAAAGGATGAAATAAATGTGGATATAGGAGATTGGAGAAATTTAGAAGTAATTTTGGTTTACAGTTGTTATGCAGAACTGAATGTTCTACAATTTTCAGCATTCTTAACTTTGTCTCACAGTTTGGAGTACCCAAACTACAATGAACAGGCGTGAAGCTGAAAAATCTATGATCAAAATAGTTATTCACCAGAAAGTAACTTTTTCTTGTGTGTGTCAATTTGATTGGATTTCTTAGGAATATGCCCACTCATCTGGGAATTGGACGTTTCACTTTGCTGGCAGGTGTCTGGTGGCAAATGTGATTAGGAAAGTGAAACTGCAGTAGACCACCTGATCATCAGTCAGATATGTTTAAACTAATGCACAGCTGATCAAGAGGTTTCAGACTAGTTATTAGAAAACATTTCTGTACCGAGAGGGTAGTCAGACACTGGAACAGGCTTTCCAGAAAGGTGGTCAATGCCCCGTACCTGTCAGCGTTTTAAGAGTCATTTGGACAATGCTCTTTATAATATGCTTTAACTTTTGATCAGCCCTGAAGTGATCAGGCAGTTGGACTAGATCATTACTTGAAATCTCTTCCACCTGGAACTATTCTGGTCTATTCTAAGAACAGCTTGTTCTGTACCACACTCAGTATCTCCAGATGAAGTGATTGCCTAGTGATATGCGTCGATTGTAGTAATGACAAGGTGTATTCTGGCCTTCATTTGCTTTTGTCAGAAGTGTTTGCTGTCACTGGGACATGTTTTTCCCTGGGATTTGTTGTAGTTGAACATTAGAGGACAGTGCTTTTGGCTGTGCTCTTCTACAGAAATAGTGCATTTTTATAGTGAGGGTAGGGCACTTAAGGCCTTAAAGTGGTTAAAATTAACAGCTCTGAAGTTCTTAAAAATAACAGCTCACAGGGGGACAGTCAAAAGAAGTGTGTCATTCATGGTGTGTCTAACTGAAGAAGACAGTTTGAATTCCAGTATCATTCAAAACATGATGGGAGAGGGATCCCAAATCATCAAGGAGCTCAATGCTGGAGTACTCAAAACTCACGAAGGCAGACATTTCTTTTTCTCTAAGATCCTGCAAAGAATACTGAATATGTCTTGGGGCAGTGAGATGTTTGATCGTGCACCCCATCAGTAAAAAACTATGAGCACTCCCCCAATATCGGGATATTTATTTATTTATAAATTCTACACATGTACTACTGTACTAATATGTACATTACAAACATACACAAAAATAGGAATTAAAAAGGGTGAGACAAAGATGAAGTATACACTTACTTTTCGTACTGTTAATGAAAAGAATTTTCTTCCCATACCCCAAAGGATTGTTGTACGCACCCCACTTTGGAGACCACTGTGTTGAAGTTAGCTCAGGCAAAGAAGTGACTGGGCAAAATCTGGAACTGTTTGCCCAGAACATCCTTGTGTTAAACTCTATCTCAGCTTAAGCAGACTTTCCCCCCACCCCCGCTCTAGAGTGGTTCTTACTCTTTCTTTTGCCTTATACACTGCCTATGTCTAACACAAACTGCTGATCTTTGTTACTTTACAGTTCAGATTCTGCATTTGAGATTGATATTTATATATGTTAAATATTGATGTATGGTTACAAGAGAGTTCCCATCAATTTTCTGAATACTGAGTCATTTCCTGCATAGTGACTCACTGATGTCATAAAAGCTAATCACTTTAACATAATGTGTTCCAACATGGGTTTCCTCGTAAGGTATTTTTCAGGTTTCCAGGCTGGTGTGCCTGGTGTAAGAGGGTACAGTCCCTTTGTCCCAGCTGGTGCAATAGTTTAATTTTTTATTTTTTATTTAATTTATCACATGTATTGAAAATTTATTTCTTAAATTCAGTGGCTATGCTATATTTTATGCTGCTCTGTTTTTTTATCTCCCTCCTATATCCCTGTCTTGTCCTGGTATTCTGTGGAGGAAAGAAAAGTCAAGAACTCTTCTGTGTTTGGAATTCTGTCTTTGGTTATGGCACAAATAAGACTCAAATTAAATTGCAGGGACACTCGTGGTCTTACATGGTATTAAGCTTGTCTGTGTAATTAAGAATTTTTTGTATGTTTTAGCAAATCTTAAAGCTAGATTTATTTAATTTGTCTGGCTGTTTCTTCAGAATTGGTCAGTGTTTTCAAGCCCTAAACAGTGCTTGTAGTCTCCCATTCGTCATATTTTAATATAGCTGTCAGATCCAGCAATACTGCAGTTCCTGTCTGGATAATACAGATGTCTTTGTAATCACAGGAAATGACAATTTAGTTGCAACCCTGAGAGACTGTTTGTTTCTGTGACACTTTAATTACAGCAAGTGTTCTGCGTATGTTTCCACTCATGAGCTGTACACAGCTTGTCACTCATGCCTCACTCTCAGGCATTGACTGTTCGAGTAAACTGTCCAGAAGGCTATTTTGCCCTGTTAGCACTGCACTGGGCTCAGGCTAATGTATCCTGCCTTCCAGACAAGTAGAACTTTCAGTCTGGGTTGCTGAGCTTTGCAATCCTCACTCAAAACCAAAATCATCTGGAGAAACAGGAAGTCTGGATAGCTTTTTTAGTACTCTTAACTTCTTTTTCAGATAGTGTGCTTGTAAGGCTTTTTTTTTCTTAAGAAACGGAATTCCTCAACTGCATCAGTACATTAAATCCAATTTGTTGTAGCTCCTTTATTTTCTCACTGAAAGGAAGCAGGAGATTAAAATGTAGTCTTTGGTCTTGGCGATTTTCTTTCCTACAATGTAAAAGATTGAGAATGCCAATCCTTGTTTCCTTTGAAAGCTTTCATGGATCCTTGCTATCAAACCATAATTCACATTAGCTACGCTTTTATTTGTAATGCTTCCTGTATATCCTCTATCTCGCCCAAATTTGCAGCAGCAGTTTTAAATCCTTAGTACTGTAGTCTGGTCTGTTCTCGGCTCCTTTTCCCAACTTGTCGGCACATTATTTTTTCTTTAACAGTGTAGAAAATACAGTGCAGCTTTTGGTAGATGGTAAAACTTTTGTTCAGACAGTGTTTTGGATTTTGGTTTTGTGGAATTCTTTCTTTTGAAGTTTGCTGCAATACTGTACCCCTGTTCTGTTTACAGAGGTGTGCATAGACAGCAGGAAGGGAAGTTCTGTTTTCAGTGCAGTGGAAGCCTGTAGAGTAGTAGGAATTTTCCCTTTGCTTAAAGGTATAGCTAAGAAAAGTTCATCTCGGCATAGTACATGGGCAGACTCCTGCAATTCAGAGTAGAGTGTACAGAGTGAGGCCCAGCAAAGAAATACGCAGAACTAAACAAAATTGCAACCAAGCTTCCAACATGATGGAGGACATGCTATTCTTAGAATCCAGAGGGACTGCATGGGTTTATTGTGCAACAGGAAGCCAAACATTTCTGAATAACAGCCTGAAGAGAAGGACATACTTTCCAAAATGCAGTAGATAGAAAGGGATTTATTTTTAAACCCTCATGTTTTAATACCTTAATCAGGACTTTAATACCTTATTCTGGATTAGAGAATTGTAGGGACCATTTTGCTTACCTAATGATGTTAGCATGGCAATGTCCCCTTCTCTGAACCTCTGATGTGTGATACTAGAGTCTGTTTTCTTAGTGGCATTCTTTCTCTTCTTCCATGGCTGCACTTCTATGGGTGAAGGCATTGCATAGAGGTAGCAAACACAGAAACTTTTAAGTTACCGGGCGTAAATAATTAATGCATTCCAGATTCCAGTATTTTTATCCAATGTAGAATTATAAGGTTGGGAGCAGGGGTAAGTAAGGCCTTTCAAAATAATGAGCGTTGAACATCTGAGGGCCTCAACGCAATGCAGCATCTGTTCTGTGGCACAACTAGTCCTGTTACTGTGACACATGAAGATCTGTTAGCCAGTCCAAAACAGTAAGAAAATGTGGTGCGATAGGACATGCCTGCTTTTTCTCACTGCAGCAGCTGCCATTAGAAAGTCTGCTGGGATTTAACTGCTCTGGCATCTGATTTGGGGAGTACTGTGTCTGTGCGCAGGGCACAAACCTGAGAGAGGTGGTACATTGCAGCATCAAAATCTACTGGTAAGTAGCTAATTTTCATACCTGCTGATCTAATTTCTCGAAGTCCAATGACATACCAGTCCAGACAACTCACTGTCTTGATACAGCACTGACAGTTTGAGAGTTCCCTTTTGTTTTAGAGTTGCTCTTACAGGTTTTAGTTATATTCATGTATGCTATATATTTCAGTTTGCATTCCATATTTTTTGTCCTAAACAAAGGTTTTTAAAGCTTGTTCTTTGTTATTCAAATGTTTTTATTTTTTTAAGCTTTTATTTTCACTTTCACTACTCAGGTAGTTCTTGAACTGGAGCATTCAGCTGATATGATTCCCTTTCTTAGGGAATTAGTCTGTTTGGTTTATTTCCTGTCTTCATCTGCTGGTAGGAGGGCAAATTGCCAACTGGACTGGCATTTTCTGGATTTGGAGAAATTAAACTTGCAGGTAAGAAGTTACTGGTTTTTTATAGGTATAATTGGAAACGGAACTAACATTTTATTGAACAAAAAATCTGTGTAAATGGGCCTTTCAGAATAGGCTTCCAATGGTACGAACCTAGACTTGATCCAGGAGAAACTGGAAATCCAGTCTAGCTGAAACGAGACAGGAAATTTTATGAGGTTACCAAGATAAGGCTTTTCCGTTTTAGCTTGTATTAAATGTGAGATCAATTTTTACTTATTTATTAAATTCCCAGATGTAATATAGTATAGTAAGTGACCAAAGATAATCATCTGTTTATGTCATTTCTGTTTTGCACACAAGAACGAGTGAATCAAGTCAGGTCACACTTTCAAGATGCAGAAATCTTAGATGTGTTAAATCAAAGGAGTAATTTCTTTATCCTTTTGAGAGGTAGCTGAGTTGTCCAAAGCAATGTTAGTGCAAACCCAACAGTTTGCAGGGTTACCTTGTACATTACATTTAAAAAAACCCAGCTTCTTTGAAAACAGAAACTAAAAAATGCACCATTTCAGTGATCCATTTTGAGGGTGGGTCTTCTGTGATTGTACCAGAACAACTGAAAAGGCAGCATACTGCGGAGCAGGGATGGAAATGAGCAGTAATTTGTCAATTGCATTTTATTATTATATGTGTACCATACATAACAATATTCTGCTTATGCTTAATAAATAATCCTAAAATAATAAATCATTGAATAAACAACTTAAAATAGTAAAAGTTGAGGAAATCAGCACGTTACTACGCTGTAGAGTACCTGACAAAGGCAGGCCTGGTGAACACTAGCGGGGAAGGATGTTTATGATGAGACTTCACTAATCTCACTTTCCCCTGCTTCTTAAATATGCAATTAAAGGACTGGAAGTCAAAAGCACACAGAGAGGTTTCCTGGAGTAGCTGTGTAAGCCTGATGTTAATACTCTGGCTGTTGCTGTTATTCCTTAATAAAAGTAAGCAAATTTACAGGCATGGAGGGAGCATATGTATCTGCACTTCAAGCAGATGCTTATTACTAATTTGGGAACATGTTAGTGTTGATTACCTAATGAATCATCGGTATTCTGTTGTAATAGGCAGGTGCTGCAGAAAGGCCGCAGAAAAATTACGGACTCGGTCAGAGATCAATACGATCAGACCAAAGCCATTTATTATAGCGTATCAATCCTTTTTATACTGTTTCTCTGCCTCGGCTTACAATAGCTTGCCGTATTATAATCAGATACATTTTCTTGTAATACACTGCAACTACGGTTACATTTACAATAGCTCACTGTATAATATTTGGATACATCATCAATAGCTCGCAGTAGTATAATTAGATACATGTTCAATAGCTTGTTGTATGATGATTGAATACATATACAATAGCTCAGTATACTATGCTTTGATACATATTCCTGCAGCACACAGTAAGTAGTAACAATAAGCGTATGAGAACTTAACCTTTAATATTTGCTAACAGTCCGCTATTTTGTATCTTAGCACAGTCCAGTTTCTTCTTATCTTGCTTGCACTGCTACTTCTGCTACTGCTACTTTTGCTTCTTTACCCACATCTTCCTTCATCCTTGGTTCATGTCAAGCTCCACGTAGGCATTTGCTGACTTGAGAATGTGACCATTCTTTGCTAAAAATCCATCCACAGGTAGAAATTCATTAGCAAGATGTTTCTACTGACTACTTCTCATTGCTTTCTAAAAGGAGCTCAACTTATGTAGCAGTTCCTGATGTAGAGAACAAAAAATCATAGAATCATAGAATAGTTAGGGTTGGAATGGACCTCAAGATCATCTAGTTCCAATCCTCCTGCATTGGACAGGGACACCTCCCACTAAACCATGTCACCCAAGGCTTTGTTCAGCCTGGCCTTGGACACCACCAGGGATGGAGCATTCACAACCTCCCTGGGCAACCCATTCCAGTGCCTCACCACCCTAACAGTAAAGAACTTCCTCCTTATATCCAATCTAAACCTCCCCTGTTTAGGTTTTAACCCCTTACCCCTTGTCCTGTCACTACAGTCCCTAGTGAAGAGTCCTTCCCCAGCATCCCTATAGCCCCCCTTAGGATACCGGAAGACTGCTATGAGGTCTCCATGCAGCCTTCTCTTCTCCAGGCTGAACAGAACAATATTTTCTTAAATTTTTATTTTAAAACAGAACTGCATTATTATGATGTTCAGTATTAGCCTTATGATGTATTATGGTTTTTGTTCCATATAAATTATGCTTATAAGTTATAAGGTAGTATCCTCCATAAAATCTAGCCTTTGACTCTTGGTCTGCAGGCGTTAAGGTAATTCTGGTTTTCAGTTGGTGTTTCTCACTAGCAGTTTGTTCTTGGGAACAGACACAATAGAAAATTCTGTTTGTACATAGGCCATTCCGGTTCACTGTGTTTTACTACAGACCAGCATTTTACATAGAAGTTTGCATGTTATGCCACAGTATTTTTATGTGCATTTTTGGTAACACTTATGAGTCCTAGCTCAAACTGTTCAGTAGTTCCCTTATGTATGTGTAAATAACAGAAAATACTCATTTTACATTTTACTCTTGAATATTTTGTGAAATTTTTAAATTTCGCAGATACCCTATTTCCCATTTGTACCTCCTCACCAGTTCTTCAGTTCTTCCTTTTGCTCTGGGAAGACTTTTACTCTATTTTTTCCTTTGAAAGATTTTATATATTTTCCTATACTAGCAGATAAATAAGTTTATTAATAGTAATATTTTTCTTTTCGTTAAGCAGCCTGACAGTAAACATCTAGAGGAAAGCTCATAAGCTTCATTGCACTCACTGTGATCACTAAGAAAAAGTCCTACTTCAAACCCCTCATTATCACAGCCTAGAGATGACCAGCACTGGTTACAGTGTTTGCATTCTGAGGAGCAAGAGTCCTTCTGTAGAAATTCAGTCTGCCTTAGACAAAATGAATTGTCTTTTGAGAGCTTTTAACTGCTAGACAGAGCTCCTGTTTCCTGTCTGACTAAGCAGGACAGCACTCAGTTATCTTGTGCAGCATTTTTTCACACCGAGTGTTTTGAAACTTGTATGCTTGTTTTCTATTAAAACTTGATCCTATTTCCTTCCTCTGTAACTTCTTTCTATAGTAAACGCTTTTGTCTTCATCTCATTTCCTCTTCCTAATTTTGAGTATTTATGGCAGGATCATTTTTGCCACATGGTGATTAAGATTGCGAGGACGATGTATGCTGTGTAGATGTGGCACTTAGGGACATCGTTCCGTGGAGGGCTTGGCAGTGCTGGGGTAATGGTTGGACTCTGTGATTTTAAGGGTCTTTTCCAACCTGAATGAGTGGGGTTTTGATCGTGATTTTTGATTATGATTCTGTGCAGTTTAATACCTTGTTAAAATAAGTCTGGTTGATCTGCAGAAACTGATACTGCCTTTGTTTATCTTGGGAGAATTGCTGTCCACAAGCAGTACCTTTAATAAGTCTTTGCTGCAGTAAAATCTCATGATACTTCAAAAATGGCTGCAGGAGGGCAAACAGCTAAACAATCTACAAGGCTGATAAAATAGGTGGTAACTACCAGCACCTGCTGTGAATATTTTTGTCTAACTTTCTGTTGTCTATTCTAGTATTTATTTTTTTATATATATACTCACTGCTGTGTTTGGGCTGATTTTATATATTTAAAGTTATTTTTCTATGTTTTTAAAGATTCAAAGTAAAAGCATAAAAGTTTTCAAGAGAACAGTTACTTCTGTATCCTCCTTGATGCATGGTTTTCTTCCTGAGCATAGTGGAGTGCTTTAAGTATTGATCTGCTCAGTCTTCGTATGTTGTTATGCTAAAATCTCTGAAGCAGTTTGGCTAGTCTCTGTGTCAAAACTTCTTTTTCTACACAGGCTGAAATTCCAGGTTACTATAGCATAAGGACTTGTGGGAAAATCCTCAATATAGAAACCTATGTGAAATGACAAAATTTCAATATTAGCAACTTGTCTGTAGATGTGTGGAGTTTTTGTCTTTCCTCAGCATGTTTAATTAATAAATATTTATTTAAATCAGCAGTATTTAATTTAAATAAATTAATGAACTTTGTGGTGATAACAAACAGGAATTGTCCAAACAGGAATTCACACTTGTGTTGTAAATGTATGAATTTGCATGTAGTTACTGTTGCTAATACGAACTGTGTCCTGTGACAAAACTTCTATGAAAGCATAAAAGAAGTCCCCCTGAATAAGAAGGTGATGCAGTGTAACTGACTAACATTGTAAGAACTTGCTAGGTCACTGCTCCAGATTCCTTAAATCAGCAAGCCTTTAATATACTTTTAATGCTTGATGTACCCCATGGGATTAGGGGAATTACATGGGGAAGTGAATACCATACAAGATACTTAAAATTATTGAGAGCTTTGGGTTACCAAAGTGCTTATTCCTCTAGACCCCTGAGAGGAAGGACGGAGATCCCCAGGTAGAAAAGTTTTTATTTTCATGAACAGTGGTGGGATTCTTCAGCTTGAGAAAAGCTCCTTGCAAAGAGTCTTGTTTGGTGTGGTGCTTCACCACCTCCTATTGCAAAATTGCTGTTTATCTGTCTCCTCTCCCAAACTCAGCTACTAAAAAGTCCTTGCTGAACTCAGTATTGTCTTACCTTGTTTCGTGGGAAATTCTGGCTCTCTGAGTGGTGTTACGTGCCCTTACCTAATGAGATTCTTGTCTAAACGGTTCAAATACCAGCAGAACAAAACCTGCATTGTAAAAAATAGACCTGTTGACAGTGTTATTTGTTAATTCACATCAATGCATGTGTAGTTACCTAATTTGCTACTCAGTTTGGCATTTCAGATGACTACATGGCATTTGGCTTTGACCTCCTGAGTAAATTCAGTGCAGGCATACGTAATGCTAGCTATTTGCTTCTGGCCAGAGACAGTCAAACATGTTGTAAAGTAGCATTTAATGATTGCCTAGTATTTCACGGACTGGAGGATTTAGGAGTTATCAATGAATACTACTTTTGTTTTTAGAGTTATTCTACAGCAGTAAAAGGGTAAGTTGGAGGTTGCCTTGTACTACTGGAAAAAGGCTGATCTTGTCTTGGAGCCTGAACCATGTACTTTCCATATTTCTGTATGACTTCTGGCAGATGATTTCCATATTGGCATATTAGCCTCTTCATTTCCAGAATTTTAGAAAACTGGTCTGCTTCATGGGAATATGAAGCAAAACTTAATCTGGAGTTTTTATGGAAGGTACTCAGCTAACTGTCTGTAATTTAAAAACTCAAGTTACTAGAAACTGTAGGATGGTAGAAAATGGAATAACTGTCTTATATTTTATCTGGAAGCATATAACAGAATTAACATGTTTGGGTTTTAGTTCATTCTGCAAAAGTATGGGGGTGGGAGGCTCTGGGGTTGTGGTCAAACTGCAAAAATAATTGAATGGGGGGAAGGACATCACGTTTGCTTAGTTGGTTTGCAAAATAGTCAGCCTGTTAATGACCATCATGCTGGCAGAAAGAATCTTTAGAATGTAATTGCTTTTTTATTGCAGAAAGATCCTAATTTCAACTTTCTTTTCTACATGTGTTTCATAAGTTGCTTCCCCTAGGAAAAATTAAATTGCTTTCTGTTGGTCACTCGAAGTAGAACATCAGCTTGGTCAGGACCTCTTGTCCTGTTTTTCTTTCTGTACCTCACGGAATTGCATTTATTAGACTGAGATTTACTGCTTTTTGTATTCACAGGACTGTGCTAAAGAATAATGACTTGAGATCAAGACAAGAATTAACTACTCACCTCACCAATCAGTGGCCTTCCCCAGGAGCTCTGGATGTCAATGCTGTTGCCTTGGACACTCTACTATATAGAAAGCACAATCAACAATGGGATGAGTAAGTTGAATATTTATTTTGATTTGCCTTTAGAGGAATAGGGAAAACTCAAAATTACACATTTCCCTTAGCATACTCTGAAACATATCCTGTTGGAACCACCTGTTACAATATATAAGGATCAGCTGGCAGGAAAAGAAAAAAAAAGTTTCTGTTCCTTGTCATAAAAATTTCCTTCCTTTAAATAAATTTGGAGGAAAAAAAAACAAACCACAAACCCACAAATAAACAAAAAGAAAATAATTGCTTTAGAGAGAAAACAAAAAGAAACAGTGTCTTTAAGAGAGGAGAGATGAGCTGCCTACTTTGTTTTGTTTTGTGTTTTTAAAGCCAACAACTTTTAAAGGAGAAATGAGGATATCTGGTTAGATTCTTAAATGTGTTACTATTAAATATTACTTTATTTGCAGGAAAAGCTTTCAAAGTCTGGACCAGCTTTCAGCAGAAGTTAGTCTTTCTCAGTCCTCTCTGGACCCAGGTCACTCACAGGATGGGAAGCAGGATGGAATGAACTTGTTAAATGAAGGTACAAAGCCAGTTTAGTGGCTTCCTTTAGTTATGTTCTTCATAACTCTTCAGTCCCTGTGAGATGATTTGCAGTGTGAACAAACTATGCTTTGAACAGCATGGGGTTTTATTGTTATGGAAGTTTTTTTCAGGTTCCCTAAGGACTACACTTCAAGTAAGTTTGGATTTATGAGGATGCTTCCCCTCAGTAACTGTAAGACTTCATGCTGTATTTAAAGCTAAACTTAAAATACGTTGCATATCTTCCCTCTCCATCACAGAAGCAGAGACAGCTCAGCTACAAGGAGGATCTTCTGTTGTCTTTCTGCTCTAACACAAATCTTTTGAGTTCCTTAAGTTTCCTTTTTTGTTTCTTAAAATAAAGATTAAAGGCACTGGATTTATAACTGCCACTGACATTCTTACGTCTTGCATTCAATGTTTATCTGTGGAGATGCAGCTTGACAGTGTTTCTGGTAAAATGGAGAGAGGTCCATGCTAGTATATAAATGTAACACACACCCCCCCCCTCTTTCAAAATCTGCACCCATATCAAAGTTTAGCTGCTCCATCTTGTGGATAAATGTGAAAAGCAGAAAAATGCTGGAAGACTTCAGAAACAGTAGTATTTTGGGTACAGAACATAAATGGTTGTAAAAAACCCTTTCTGTTATCTCATCAAATGTTAACTTTAAATAGACTTGACAGTATAGGGCCTTAGGAGTTCATAACTGTAACTTTAAAATATCAGCATTTAAAATTTAGCACTTTTTGTTTTAAAAAAAAACTAAGCAGTCTTAAAATCTAAATTATTTCAAGTGAGCTCAGAGAAAGTGAAACACAATCAGCATGGCTGTTATGATGAGAGCTCTTGTGCAGATCTACTTTCAACTGATTTTTCGCAATATTAACCATTTGAAATCATGCTTTAAGTCCTCTAAATGTGGCAAAACCACTGATAATAATAGTTTAGGGTCTTCAAAGGTAGAATAACATCTCAATTCTAAATTAGTGAGGTTCAGTACCTAAGCATAATATACTTTTGTAAGATACAGCATGTGATCCTGCTGTTAAAATACCTTTGGTCTAACTCTCAGTACTACTAGTCAGATTTTTAGCTTCACATTTTTTGAAATTGAGCTCTGTGCCCAGTAGCGCTACACTGCTCTTCATCTGGTTTATGCAGGTCGGCTGGTTTGGGGTTTTCCTTACATCCTTCTAATAAGTAAAACTTTCCTGTCAAGAAGACAGGACAAAGAACACAAATTTTAAGAAATGCTACTTTATAGATGTGATTTAAAAAAATTCTGTTAGACTGGCTCATCAATAGAATCTACCTGTGACCCTTAAATCATTTTTCTCTCTAGTTTTAAGGTGATATATTCTATTCTGTAGGTGAGCCAGGAGGATGAAATAGGGTGATGCTAGTAGATCAAATTCTTTATAATGTGATTTATTAGCAGAGTTGGCACAAAATAACTGAAATGGATATTCTGGGAAGACATAAAATAGAGAAATTGTCCAGTGCAGACTTACACCTAATAGGTACGTTTAATGTTAACAAGTGTATTTGGATGACAGGGCAGATACTTGCACTGCCACTCCTGCACTGTAGGGCTTTTTCTCAGTGGTCGGAGCCTAATGCACTTCACCAAGGTTTAGAAAACAAGACATGTTTATTTTTAAAGAAATATATCCTGATTCCAGTTACTCCTTTATGAGAAATTTAAAACTAGGTCTTTCATGCTGACATGTTAGGAAGGTCATTTCAGTTTCTATATAATGCATTTGGTGCTTGAATTGGACCCTTCTGTTCCTCATGTCACCTCTGGAGCCTCTGAATGTCCTTCTGTAGGAGCCTGACCTCGGCCCAGCCTGCAGTGCACAGGTGGAGATCTCTGCCACCTGAGCAGGGAAGGTGTGGCACAAAGTACATGTCTTTCTCATGGCATTTATGAAGTATGTGTGTGCTGAAGCAGTAGCGCACAATTCATAATAATGTAGGTGGACCATTTTTTTCTACTCCCACATCTTTTTTGTGGTCAGATCATCTTGTCCTATGCAAATCATTAGCTTAATTCTTGTTTTTCTTCACAGGGAAGGAAGACACTCCATCGTTGCTTGGTCTTTGTGGCTCTCTTACATCAGTAGCAAGCTACAAATCTCTCACAAGTCTGAAATCAAGTGAATATCTTGCAAGTCCCACAACAGAGATGACAAGTCCGGGCTTAACTCCATCATGAGATACACACAAGGAAGAGCTTTCTGTTGTATGCATTTGGTTTATGTTCTGTAAAATGACTTGCAATGAAGACTGCTGGTTCTGAGTTAACATATAAGTTGCTTTATTATTTCTCTCCATGATTATCTGTTTAATTCACAAATTCTGTCAGTTTTCATTCCCTTCCCCCCTCTGCCCCCTTCCCCCAGAGGACTTCTCAGATTTTCTACTTACTCGGAGTTACTTAAAGCTCTCGGTCAAGTACAGGACATATAATCTGATGCTTATGGCTGTTTTTTTAAATAAAACAGTTGGACATCAGTCCCCTACTTAACTGCCAAGACCTTTGTTTCTCCTTGCAATGGCCTGGCCCTGCTCTAGCCACGGTGCTTCTCTGCAGTGCTTTAAATATCTATCAACTCTTGCAGAACAGACAGGGGATCCTAAACACCAGACTTTGTAGGCAGATATTTTACCTAAAAACCCAGCTTTCCATCTCTGCGTAGGTCCTCAAATAGCTTATTTAACCTATCAACAGCTCTTCTCGAATTCACTCAGTGTTAGACTTTATTTCTGTAGCATCATGGCACTAAGATGTCCGAATTGCACTGAGGAATCACACTGAAACGCTCTTACTAATTCTTGAAGTTGCATGTGAATAACAAATGTATTGATCATATATGATAAATGAGGCATATTTCACAATTCACAAATGTTGAGAAAACTCACTAAATGCTTTGACTGACATGAGTTAGATAATCAAGCATCATAGGAGAAATTTCTTGGTTACCTTGCTGTAAAGATGGGGACTACAGTGGCACAGTTAGCACCTTGGGAAGCTTGGATTGTGTGTTTATTGGCAAGGTCCCAAAGAGAGTAGAAAATGGGGAGCAAAGAGAATATAATGACAGTATTCTCATGTTAAAAGATTTTTCTCATTCCTGTAGTAGTGCAATAGGTATTTTTCTTGATGGGGTAATGCGGCAGAACTTCCTTAAGTCAGTTTTCTCAGATTCCTTGCCATTGGTTTCAATTACTGATGGGGTGGGGGGAGCAAACAGGGAGACATTTTTTAAATGAACCAAACTTCCCAGATTTCCCTACAGCTTAGAAGTTTGCAAATTAATTTTTTACTTGCAAACTGTATTCTTAATTCTTTGTAAGATACAATGGAGCCTTTCGCTATGGATTTTGCTAATCAAGTAATGCTTGTCAGTATGGTAACTTTTTAAACAGAACTTCAATGCATGTAAGTACGTTGTATTTATAAGTGCTAGGGAAAATGCTTTTTTTGTGCCAAAGAAGTTTCATAAATTGTTTACATGAGTAGCTGCAATACAGGACAGATTTTTAATTATTGCATACTCTTAGGTGTTTACACTCTGTCTCTACACTCTGTTTGGTTTTAGTTCATTTGCCTCTTGTAATGGTACCTTGGCACTACTACTGTAATCTGGTCATCTTGGCATTGGCTTGAAAGAGGATTCATTTTTACCTTTACTGAAACTACAGGACATGTTCAGCCTGTATAGGTGTGAGGCTCTGCACCTCTGGGACTTGGGCGCCGTTTGATTTAGCTGGAGAAGGATCAAGAGCCATCTCAATTCCAGTCCACAGTGCTGGAGGTTGCAGCAGCTGTGGTGGGATAAACCACGACTGGTGCCATTTCAGTGCAGCTTTTTAAAGCAGCTTGGCAAAGCCCACCAGACCTTGTCCTTCAAGCCCTCACGTACCTACCCGGTTGATTTCTCTGTACTCAACTGACCATTTAATCCTTTCATATGCTGTCAGAATGTCCATTACCTCACGTAAATTTGGGGTTTTGTTATGACATTAAGCACCTGTTCTTTCATGGCAGTTGAGTCGTGTTATTAAATGCCAGTCTGTAAACTAGAGATGCGTTTTTACTACAAACACAGTGAGGGACTCCGGATTCCACAAGTTAATGTTCTGCATCAAGGTACAGTGATTTGATCGGTCTTGTTCACTGTTCAACACTTTCCCCACTGTGTCAGCATTTTGGAGGGGACTATGATCATGATCTTCAGTCATGTTTGCTGATGGCTCTTTTCTTGGAGCTACTGGTGTGAAATTCATGTGTCATTTATTGGGAGTCTTCTGTGTAGTTCCTGGGTGTCATTTGTGCATGGGAAATAATCTTGTGTGTCTTTCTCAGTTTGAACATGAATCATTTTTAAAAAAGACTGAAAAACAAATGCCAAACTGTATGTTTTGTTGCCTTGACTTTCCATGAATGTTGCATGTAAATTAAACATTTTTGTATCATTGCTGGTTACTAGTTTTTGTTCATCTTACTTTATGTGATTAAAACATTCGACAAACAACAGTATGACTAACATTATAGCAAATTCTGTCTTGCACGACAGGGAGGCTTTGGGTTTGCTGCTGTATGTCATTATTCACTGTGATCCAAAACCTGCTGTTAGTGCTGGCTCTCTCTTGGGCCTTATTTTGAGCTTTGAGTATAAACTAAGTTTGAGAAATCACAAGAGGGGAACAGTGTCAGGTACCTCCCATGGCAGGACCTCTTGCCTGCACCGTGTGCCAGAGCCTCTCCCTAACCTCTTCACAACTGCAGCGTTTTTCAGCATGTGATGAGCTTTCACCAGTGCCAAACACATGCTGGGATACCTTCTTCATAGGGGGATAGGACCGAAGTCTATTTCTTGGGTAAAGCACACCCCAAAGTTGGTGTTTTAGCGACCTGACCACCAAGTTGCTATTGTACCAGCACCCCTTATGAAAATATGCAAAAGAAAAAATTCAGCGACTTCACTGGAAGATATGAAAAAAGCAATGCAGTGAGGGTGGTTGAAGAAGAGGGGAAAGAAAGAGAGTAGTTAAAAAATAATAATAATTAAAAATAGTTCTGCAGAGAAAGCTCTGATGCAGTAGGTCAAGTGCTGTGGGCAGCTGTTCCGGCTATGCAGGTGTACCATGCTGTTGCAGACAACAGCCACAGTAGCAACCACATGCTCTTTCCTGCAGGCAGATGTATGGCTGAGTTACACTGGCATGAACCATCCTTGCCCACCCCAGGAACGATGGCCTTCAAAACATGGTGCTCCCTCCCAAGCTGGGGGTGAGAGATGCTTTCTGGTATGGGGGCTGGCCCTGCTGTGGAGCTCTGTGACCCCCCAAAGCCATGCACAGGCATGTTCTTCCAGACAGGCACTTGTCTCCAGTGCCCATGTGAGCTTTCAGTTCTTAAGAGTAATGCCTTAAGCTAAAAAGCCACTGTGGCACGCACTTACCAATGTATTCACCATCCTCTTGGGGTTTCTAAGGAGCAGTGTGCTGCTTTCAGTTTGACCTAAAGCATCTTTCATTTTAAATATACCTGAGAGGAAGCTGAGGGCTATTTTGTAATACACATTTACACAAAATACAGAGCTGCAACTAACAACCATGCACAGAATCAAGCATCCATTAAGCAAAATAAATAAACATTTATTGAATTCATTCTGTATCAACCTCCTTATGGAAGAATAATCGTATCATACAATTTTCTAAACCTCATTTTACATGCCCAACAAAAGTTTTTAGTTGGACTGAATATTAACACAGTGGCAGTGGTTATTCCTCATTATTCTGTCCAGTCTCCTTTTTTTTCCTTTTAACCATCACAGAAGAACAGTCAGCATCTGTTTTATTTTCTCATTTCTATTTCCATCTAGTGGCAAGAGAAGTCACAAAGTCTTCACTGATAGATTGTCATGATTATGTTCTTAGTCTTAAGAAAAAAGTGAATTTATCCTTTGTGTTAAAAATGAAGTTGTATTTGTTACCAAATATAATGACAGACGTTCACTGGGAGTTCTAGAAAATACCTTCACAGATTCAAATTCGGCACAACTTCCACCCTGTATTTTGACTTCATACAATCAGATGAAGTAGAATAAGGATGTTGGCTCATCTTTCTATTTAAATGAGAAAAAAAAAAGACTTTCCATATTCATATGTGCTGATCATTAGGGCACATGCAGGAGCAACTTTAAACAGCCGTGCAATAATACCTGCCCAGAAAAGAAAAGGAAAGCGTTCACTGTCATTTGTTTTCAGACTGAAGAGCTGTAGTACCATTTAGTGGTCACACTATACCAATACCTAATATGTCAGGGTGGAACTGGGATGCTACCTGTTTGTAGTCCTCAAAATACGGTAGGTAGTGCCATGGTGGTAGCCTTACAGGATCAGAATCACCTAGATTGGAAAAGACCTTCAAGATCATCAAGTACAACCATTACACCAGGACTACCAAGTCCACCGCTGAACTATATCACTGAGGTCCTCACTACAGGGTTTTTGAACACTTCCAGGGACAGTGATTCTACCACTGCCCTGGGCAGCCAGTTCCAATGCCTGATCACACCCTTGGTGAAGATTTTTTTCCTAATATCTAATGTAAACCTTCCCTGGCACAGCTTGAGGCCATTACCTCTTGTCCTATTGCTTGTTACTTGGGAGAAGAGACCAGCCGCCTTCCCTCTCCATCCTCCTTTCAGGTAGTCGTAGAGTCATAAGGTCCCCTCTCAGCCTTCTCCAGGTTAAACAACCCCAGTTCCCTCAGCCCTTCCTCATCAATCAATCTGACTTGTGCTCCAGGCCCTTCACCAGCTTCAAGTCCATTGTACCTCTGCCCCTTCTGTCTCTCCAGGGAGGCAGAGCCCCTTGACCTGCTGCAGCGCAGCTCAGATGGCTCGAGGGGGGCAGACTGTGTGCCCCATCCTCTGCCTGTCACTGCAAACCTGCTGCTCCTGTGGGATAAACAGAGGCTTGTGACCACTCAGATGGGACAAGAGGTTCAGGAAGTCCTGAACCCTGAACTGGATAAAGTCAGGGGAGAAAAGGCTAGAATACTGTGCTGGGCTGTACCCTCTGCTGTAGTCAGTGGCTCAGCCCTTCAAGCCAACTGCTGAGCAAAAGTGTGATTCCTCTACTACTATCTCTTAAGACCTACAGCACCTCTACTAACATGGAAGAATCCTGGTCACAGGGTTAAACAATAGAATGTGGGCATCAAGTGTTTCCTGCTGCACTTAACTGTGATCCTGTCAGTGGAGTTTAAAAAGTTTACCTAAAGGTGGGAAAATAAGGCTGAATCCACTTGTCTACACACAGCTGTCTACTCTCACTTGGAACACAAAGGCATCTGCAAGTAGCTAGCCTGGATGATGCATGGCCTACGAAAAACTTGTGTCCCTTTGGAAAAGTAGCAAGAAGCCAGGCAAAATACCCCCAGTCACCTCACCTATGTGTGGGCAACAGAACTGGGATAGTGCTGATCGAGAGAACATCTCTACACTCATGTGTCAATACCCAGATGTAACAATCTGTGAACTAAATTCCATCCAAAATGTCTAGTAATGCCAATACTGAGTGGTGCCTTGCACTCTGCTGGCATCAGTGCTCCAAAATATGCAAACACCATTACCCAGCTATGTCATCACCGTACAGCAATTTCATCTCTTTCAAAGAACGCAAGTCTTGCAAGTCTTCATTCAACTGTGTAGCCATTCACACACATACCCCCAAGGAACCGATGCAGTGCTGTCAAGACACTAAGTATCCTGGGCTTGGAATGTGTCTTGCAGTTGTTTGTTTAATTATGAACTACTACAGGCTTTTATCTCACTATAATTTTAATCTCAGTATCTTTGTAATTTCCCCCTCAGACTGCTGGAGTCACTCATGACAACACGTGTGCATTACAAAGGAGCTTTGTGCTGACAACACAGTATTGCCCCAGCCATTCAACAGAACAGGATAACTGCCTCGCCTATCTGCCAGATTTGCTGAAGACAGAAAGACATGGGAACCCTACAGCCCAAGAGAAGGGTATGGGAGGGCAGCTGAGTGACAAATACCAGCTAAGTAAGGAATCTTAGGGAGATGAGCATCCTGAGGTGGGCACACAGGCTGCCAAGAGCAGTTTGTGACTATGAGCATTTTATATACAGTCAAGGTTGAAGTTTTAGTTGCCAGTTGCCATACACAGAAAGATATCTGAAAACAAAACACTTTAAGACCAGTCTAGTTAAAAAGTGATATGGGGTCTTAGCCTGTTGATACTTGGGCTAGTAAATTATTGATAGAACTACCTGAATGTATGTATTCAATAAAGGCAGTTTCACCCCAGGTAAAGATCTGGTTTTGTTTGATGAATGATAGTAGTTTTTCACAAGAAGATATGAACCAGTAATTAGAATTCCTGGGGATGCCTAATCAGCTTGAACCTTCACACTGTGAACATTCATTTGCACTGTCACATGAGGCTGGAAACTTATTCTCCCAGTTCTGTCACATGCAGCAGCAACCCCAGACTGCCTCTGTCTGTACCCCGGTACACAGGGTGGGGAGAGCAGCATACACCTGAACTATAAAAATACCTTTGGTTTTAGTTACCAATTGGCAACTAGAAACACAAGTCTCCTTCTGTGGCTATGAGGACACAATGGATGAGAATACAAGAAGTCTACTTTCTGGAAAACCAAATCATCTCTTCCTGTTTTGCTTGTCAGAGCATGCCAAGTAGAAACCTGTGACAGAAGTCTAGCAGGATCCATCATAGCTGCTGCCAAATATCTACAAATCTGTGAAAAAAAGTCCATGTTGTTCTCCAAGAGAATATTCTGGGATGTGGCTTAATGCACCGTCAATGACTGAAATGACTGGTGATTACCTCATAAGGGAGTCAAACTTCTTTTGTATATACAGAAGTGGAAGATTCCCTGAAAGATGTTAAGATTTAAAAGAAATCCTCAGTTTCAGGATGTAACAGTGAGGGGCTTACATCTTTCTTACATCGTACATCTTTCTTACCTCTCATATCACACTTGCTTGCTCACGGAGTGCCTGTTCTGCCCAGGGCAGCTTCATTATGAAGTGGAAAAAAACCTTCTAAGCCTCCCGAGGTCTCAGGAACTTCTGTTATCACTCCTCGCTGCCAAGAGTCATGATACAATTGAGCCATAATGATGAAAATTAGGAGGAACAGAACTTCCTGTTGGACCTCTCAGGAAAATAGGAAAACCTTATTGCTGGAAGTTTTGAGTTAGTACCAGGAATTCGGTCATATGATGAGGTAGGGCCCAGAGACTTGCTTTCAGAGAGATGCTAGGATTTGAAAAAGACATCAGAAGGTATTCCTGAAGGGTTCTTTTCTGTTCTATGAGGGGTTAAATGGCCAAGATATCTTATGATGGTCAGGGATACATCTGTGCTGGTCAACAGTAGAAAAAACTACTGCATATAGTCCAGGGTTAAAAGGTGGTGGCTGCCAAAACTATCAGAAACTCTAAAAGACAAGTCTTTACATCAATCTGTGCAAGAAGAAGGATTAAATACATCAAGACTGCATCATAGATGGATGGAATCTATCCTAGGCCAAGTATTCCACACAGGCCAGTAACAGTATTTTATTATGCGAATTCTACTCTATTCTCAGACTTCTTGGGTTCTCAATACTGCATCTTCTTCAAAGACAATCAGAAAAATACCACTGAAGCTTAAGCTCTGTTTCTGAGACAGAAAGAACCAAAAAAAGTTGAGTACACAAATTAGTATGAGATGAAGAACAAAAATTAGGCTAGCTATTCCTAAATACAGGTGGGCAAATGCAATGGTAATGACTGGTTTGACATTTTTAACACTGGACTAAAAACCGCATTTAAGAAATTTTCTGTCTAGAAACACCTCCTTACTTCAGTTTCCATTACATTTCCTTTGTACCAATTCTTTCTGAAACACCCAAGAATTGCAGTTTAAGAAATCAACAAGTTGCTTAAACTTGACAAAACCTATTTCCTGAACTGAACATTTTCCCACCATTTTTCATTGCCAATACAGCTCTATTTGTTAATCCCAGCCCCTTTGTTTTTTACCTAGATCATGTCCATCTTGGACAGCTGCAGTTTAGTAACTTATGAAGAGATTGTCAGAATTCTCTCAGGATATATACATGTCTGTTGCTTTACATATGCAAACTATTTCATAACTCACAGTGTTTCCAGAGCTCAAAATGTTGTATAATTTATGCATGTTAACAGCTATAGCAACTTGTTAATGACTTAAAAGATCTCTCTACTCTGAGTTGGTTTACAGATACGAAAAGATTTACCAGCAAATAATCCAGTAATCCCATTTTTAGCGAAAATTTTCCTCATAACTGCCCAGGTCGATGTACTATCCCTCTGTGGAACTCAATGCAGTACAAGAAAACAGTGAATTAAGTAATATATACAATGCCATAAAAGAGTACTTTTAGAAATCAGAGACAGTCATAGATGGAATTATTAGGTTTAATTAATTTTAATTTTATCCATACTATTTATACAGGATGTGCAAATTCATAAAATGCTTAAAATATCATGACATGGAAAACCCTGTAGTAACACCTGGAGTAAGATACAAGAACAGAGACAATATTCCTTACTAAAGTACTGATATAGCTGAAAAAAGTCACCTAGCTTTCAAATGAGCCAGTCGCTCTCATTGTCACGCTATACATGTAGCTAAATGCTCATCACAGTTCAGATATTTAAACAAGAACTTGCCTTTATGGTAAACTGAGTCTGAAGGGAAGTTCACCTGAATGTATTATAAAAAATTAATTTTTTGCTTATTTAAATATAACTTATTTCAATCATAGAATCAATTTGCTTGGAAGGGATCTTTAAATGTCATCTAGTCCAACCTGCCTGCAATGAGCAGGGAGATCTTCAATTTGCAATTGGTCTGCCTATATGTAACAGCTTTGAATTTTTTGTTTATATTTTATACCATCTCACTAACCTAAATAGTACTGAGCTCACACCTTCTCCCTCCTCCAAGCCATTAGTGAAATACTGTATTTACTAGAAGGTAAAAATATCCTATGAAATTTGGAGTAGAAAAGATGTCAACGCTAGAATTTTTAGATAAAACTTGAGAGGAAAAAACAGATATTTAAAATTCCTACCAAAAGTCTATATGCCAAAACACTACATTTTCTTTTTCCAGACATAATGTTTTTTTTATCCTTACCAGCACTTTTTAAGGTCTCTCACTCCCAAAGTTCAGTCTGCCTGTGTTTTCACTACATCAAATGGCAGAGTTATGACACATACCATCTATCAGGAAAATAGAGCAGTTTTAATGTTAGAGCACAAAAAATTAACATTCAATTTTTTACAAATTAAAATACACACAATTTAAAACTAGATTTAATATTCCAAGTGTTTGACATAATTAAAAGTCTTGTATTTCAAAACACTGTAATTTCAATAAATTCAAATATACCTAATCATCTTAAATGCCAGGTATGGGTATTTAAAGCACATGCACCCCAAAAACATCAACATTTCTGTGACAGCCAGGTAAAATCATACGTCTTTTAAACAGTCTATTAGTGACAGATAAATAAAAGAGTACAACTAGACATAAAAATACATACAGAGCCAGATGCTGCTCCTGAAGCAAAAGAAATAAAAAATGTTGGTTTGTGTGCACCAAGTTCCTTGCACAGGATCTTCTTGAAATGCTCATAATTATACCAGTACATTGCTATGGTTATAAAAAGATAAACCTGCATTACAACACATTTGTATGTCCCATACAGAAATTCTTTAATCAAGTATAGATATAAGAATTCTACTGTGGCAACAGGAGCAAAAAGAAATGTGCTGAAAGCAAATTAAAAGTGTTTCTGTGATGAGCCATGGACAGACTGCCTTGTTCCGCTTATCTTTATATTCCAGAATTACTCATACGATACAATGAAAACCTAATACTGAAACGTATGAAATCCTGACATTATATAAATTGCCTAAATAAGAAACATTAACTCGGTACCTGTAGGACTCATATTCCTGTGTAACTTTTACCACATCACTGCTTAAAGAATGACTTAAGCATTATTGTTAGAATCATAGAATCATGGAATAGTTAGGGTTGGAAAGGACCTTAAGATCATCTAGTTCCAACCCCCCCTGCATGGGCAGGAATGAATCACACTTAACCATGTCATCCAAGGCTCCTTCCAACCTGGTCTTGCGCAGTGCCAGGGATGGAGCATTCACAACTTCCCTGGCCACCCCATTCCAGTGCCTCACCACCCTCACAGTAAAGAATTTCTTCCTTATATCCAATCTAAACTTCCCCTGTTTAAGTTTTAACCCCTTACCCCTTGTAAGCATCCCTATAGGCCCCCTTCAGATATTGGAAGGCTGCTATGAGGTCTCCACACAGCCTTCTCTTCTCCAGGCTGAACAACCCCAACTTTCTCAGCTTATCTTCATATGGGAGGAGCTCCAGTCCCCTATCATCAGTCAGCAGCAGCAGTGAGTGAGGTGTTGCATTCCAGTAGTAGGACAAGAGGTAAACCCCCAAACTAGACACATGAATGTTAACAAACACAAGCAAATATCTAAACACCCTCTGCTACAAACGTTGCCCTGTGTAACAAATGCAGGAGAGATTGCTTGAATTCTCCTTTCCAAGACCTCACCATAGGCAGTGTAATAGCAAATGCCAATTGGTGTCTTGATAAGGAATGGTGAGGAAATGCTGCATGCTCTACATTTCTGCAAAGTTCATGCAGATGGAACCCAAACTGCTTTCCTGTCACCTTTGGGATCGCCACACTCAAATGGGTGTACGTGGTACAAAAGCCTTTGCGGACACGGTATGAACATACAGATTTATTTACAGGGACACCCCGCAGTGATGCCCAGTGTGTGGCCGCCATGGGCAGGGACATCCCCCTGGGCCTCCTGGGCACAGGCACTGCCTCAGGGCCAGCACCCCAAAGGCCTTTCTCCAAGGGATGCTGGGCGAAGGGGCAGCAGCAGCAGCAGGGCTGCGGTAGGCAGGGCTGCAGGGGCCCCGTCACCCCCGTGTCATAGTGCCAGCACCCGGCCATGCAGCATCACAATGCTCCGGGGCAGTATGAGTCCAGCGCCCTCCCCTGTCCTGCTGCCAGAGTGCCCGGTGCTGCCACCGGGACAGAGCTGGCAGCCTGAGGGCATCTGAGAGGCAGTCCCTGGGGCACCGGGGGAATTCCTGGCAGGGGGGAGGGGGTTGATGGGGGCAACCCTTGAAGCTGCACGAAGCTGCAGGAGGTTCTGTGCTGCGGTTCCAGCTCCTGGAGGGGCAACGCTCAAACCTCATCACATGGATGGATGGATGCATGGATGGATGGATGGAAATCCTGCCTCAGTCGTTGGGGAGCTCGCTGTCCTCGTCTCCTGGGCACCAGGGAATTAGGTGAGGGGGGGACTAAGGGAGGGAACACTTGAAGCTGCGAAGCTGCAGGAGGTTCTGTGCTGCGGTTCCAGCTCCTGGAGGGGACACGCTCAAAGCTCATCGCATGGATGGATGGATGGAAATCCTGCTTCAGTCGTTGGGGAGCTTGCCATCCTCATCTCCTGGGCACCAGGGAATTAGGTGAGGGGGGGACTAAGGGAGAGAACACTTGAAGCTGCAAAGCTGCAGGAGGTTCTGTGCTGCGGTTCCAGCTTCTGGAGAGGGCACGCTCAAGGCATCATCGAGGGATCATGCTTTGGTTGTCAGGGAGCTCGACGTCCTCACCTCCTGGGGAGAGAGTGGCAGCAGCCAGAAGAAAAAGGATGCACAGGCGGCTCAGTGCCCTCCCCCACTGCCAAGCACAGGAAGGATTCGTGCTCCGAGGATTCGTCAGGCCAAAGGCATTTTGCTGTTGTTTGAAGCCCGAGATGGCTTCAGGTGGAAGCAGAAAAAGCAGTGCCAGTGTCCCCTTGTCCCCTTAGAGGCGTAACCAGCGTGTGGAGCTGGAGCAGGTCTTGCTCACGTGCTCAGGGAGTAGCCGACCGCCAGCACTGGGGTCAGGAAGGAATTTTCCCCCGGGGCAGATTGGCACCGGTCCCCGGGGGTTTTTTGCCTTCCTCTGAGCACTGAGCATGACCCCTTGTCAGGGCTCCTCAGTCCATTCTGGCTGCGTTATCGCCTGGTGCTCATGCTCCACAAAGGCGGCCCCTCGTGTCCTGCAGCTGGGGGGGGGGAAGGCTTTTTTCCCCCCAGGCTGGACTAGCAAGCGTCCCTGGGGTTTTTCGCCTTCCTCTGCAGCCGAGCACAGCCCCTTCATGGGGCTCCTTTGGGTCATGGTGTCCCAAAGGCAGCTGCTCGTGCTCCACGCAGGTGGCCCTCGTGCCCCGCATCCGGGGGGAGGCAGCCTTCTGCACTCCCAGGGTGGCCCCAGCGTGGCCCCGGGACTTGCTGCTGTCCTCTGGAGGACTGAGCACCACACCTCGACAGGTCTTCCCTGGCCCTTTCTGGCTGGGTTCTTCTTGCACTGCTCTCGCACCACCACGGCACCACTCCTGCCCTGCCTTTCCTTTCTCAGGCTGCAAGGGAGGCTTTTGCCACCTAAACTGAAGGCTCTAAACTAAACCCGACTAAAATTAACTCAGCTAAACTAAATCAAATAACTTTATCTAGAAATAAATAAAATACTCTTTCTACCCATAACCATTCTGAGTTGTGTCTTGGAAAGTGATTTTGGTGCTGAAATTCCCTTGGCATTTCAGGTAAATAAGGATCTCCTCATTGTACAACTTGTGAGTGCAGGCAAGGGAAGGCAATAAAACGGAATGGAACAGAAGAGAGTGGACTGGAACTGAACAGAATACAACAGAAAGCTCTGCTATGTTATGCATATAGAATCATAGAATAGAGTTGGAAAGGACCTTAAGATCATCTAGATCCAACCCCCTGGGCATGGGCAGGGATGCCTCGCACTGAACCATGTCACCCAAGACTCTGTCCAGTCTGGCTTTAAACACTGCCAGGAATGGAGCATTTGCCTCTTCTTTGGAAAACCTGTTCCAGTGCCTCACCACCCTAACAGGAAAGAACTTCTTCTTTAAATCCAATCTAAACTTCCCCTGTTTAAGTTTGAACCCCTTACCCCTTGTCCTATCACTAGTCTGTGATGAAGAGTCTCTCCCCAGCATCCCTATAGGCCCCCTTCAGATACTGAAAGGCTGCTAGGAGGTCTCCACGCAGCCTTCTCTTCTCCAGGCTGAACAGCCCCAGCTTTCTCAGCCTACCTCCATATGGGAGGTGCTCCAGTCCCCTGATCATCCTCGTGGCCCTCCTCCGGACTTGGTCCAACAGTTCCATGTCCTTTTTATGTTAAGGACACCAGAACTGCACACAATACTCCAAGTGAGGTCTCACGAGAGCAGAGTAGAGGGGCAGGATCACCTCCTTTGACCTGCTGGTCACGCTCCTTTAGATGCGGCCCAGGATACGGTTGGCTTTCTGGGCTGCGAGTGCACACTGAAGCTGGCTCATGTTCAGTTTCTCATCGACCAACACCCCCAAGTCCTTCTCCGCAGGGCTGCTCTGAATCTCTTCTCTGCCCAACCTGTAGCCGTGCCTGGGATTGCTCCGACCCAGGTGTAGGACCTTGCACTTGGCATGGTTAATCTGCATGAGGTTGGCATCAGCCCACCTCACAAGCATGTCAAGGTCCCTCTGGATGCCATTCCTTCCCCCCAGCCTATCAACCAAACCACACAGCTTGGTGTCACTGGCAAACCTGCTGAGGGAGCACTCAATCCCAATGCCCATGTCAGCGACAAAGATGTTAAACAAGACCGGTCCCAACACCGATCCCTGAGGGACACCACTCGTTACTGGTCTCCAGCCGGACATTGAGCCATTGACCGCAACTCTTTACATGCAGCCATCCAGCCAGTTCTTTATCCACCAAGTGGTCCATCCATCAAATTGATGTCTCTCCAATTTAGAGACAAGGATGTCGTGTGGGACAGTGTCGAACGCTTTGCACAGGTCCAGGTAGATGACATCAACTGCTCTACCCCTGTCCATCAGTTCCATAGCCCCATCATACAAGGTCACCAAATTGGTCAGGCAGGATTTCCCCTCAGTGAAGCCATGCTGGCTGTCACCAAGCACCTTGTTGTTTTTCATGTGCCTTAGCATGCCATCCAGGAGATTCTGCTCCAAGATTTTGCCAGGCACAGAGGTGAGACTGACTGGTCTGTAATTCCCTGGGTCATCCATTTTCCCCTACTCGAAAATGGGGGTTATATTTCCCTTTTTCCAGTCATAGGGAACTTCACCTGACTGCCATGATTTTCCAAATATGATGGCCAGTGGCTTAGCAACTTCATTCACCAGCTTCTTCAGGACCCATGGATGGATTTCATGAGGTCCCATGGACATGTGTATGTTCAGGTTCTTAAGATGGTCTCAAACCAGATCCTCTGCTACAGTGGGCCTAGGGTCTTCATTCTCACAGTCCCTGCGTCTGCCTTCCAAGACCTGGGTGGTGTGCTCAGAACATTTGCCAGTGAAGACTGAGGCAAAGAAGTCATTCAGAACCTCAGCCTTTTCCAAATCCAGGGTAGCCAGTTCTTCCGATAGCTTCCGGAAGGGGCCTATGTTGTCCCTAGTCTTTTATTTGCGATGTACCTATAGAATCCCTTCCTGTTATCCTTAACATCCCTAGCCAAGTTTAATTCTAACTGGGCCTTAGCTTTCCTAACCTGCTTCCTAGCTTCCCAGACAACATCCCTGTATTCTTCCCAGGCTGCCTGTCCTTGCTTCCACCTTTTATAAGCCTCTTTCTTCCTTCGAATTTTCCTCAGCAGCTCCTTATCCATCCATGGAGGTAACCTAGACCTCCTGCTGCACTTTTTTCTAGTTGGGATGCAACACTCCTGAGCTTGTAGCAGGTGACCCTTGAATATCAACCAACAGTCTTGGGCCTCCCTGCCCTCTAGGCCTGTAACCCATGGAACCTTACTAAGCAGGTTCCTGAAGAGGCCAAAGTATGCTCTTTTGAAGTCCAGGGCAGTGAGCTTGTTGCACACTCTTCTCACTGTCCTGAGGATCTCAAATTCGACCATCTCGTGATCGCTGCATCCAAGGCTGCCCTGGAGCATCACATTTCCAACCAGCCCTTCCCTGTTGGTGAGCACAAGGTCAAGTATGGCACCTCTCCTTGTCGGCTCCTCTATTACTTGCAGAAGGAAGCTGTCTTCTACACAATCGAGGAACCTCCTGGATTGCTTGTGCCGGGCCGTACCGTCCTTCCAACAGATGTCAGGGTGGTTGAAGTCACCCATGAGAACAAGAGCCTGTGAGTGTGAGGCTTTTCCTATCTGTCTATGGAGTGCTTCATCCACAGCTTCTCCTTGATCAGGCGGTCTGTAACACATCCCCCCAGTAATGTCCCCCAGAGCTGTTCTCCCTTAAACTCTGACCCACAAACTCTCTGCTGATTGCTCACCTGTTCCCAGACAGAGTTCCATACTCTCCAGCCTATCCCTAACATAAATAGCAATTCCCCCTCCCCGTCTGCCGGGCCTGTCTTTTCTAAAGAGCCTGTAACCTTCCATTCCAACACTCCAGCCATAGCAGCCATCCCACCATGTTTCTGTGATGTCTGTTATATCACACCCCTGTACATGTGCACACATCTCTAATTCCTCTTCTTTGTTCCCCATGCTACAGGTGTTTGTACAGAGGCATCTGAGCTGAGCTCCAGATGAATCCGGCTCATTGGCTGGAATATCTCGACATTGCTCCGAGCATTTATTACAGATGCTGGTAACTGACTCAGTGTGCTGGGATGGAATGATGCCCCCCTCCCCTAACACATCTAGTTTAAAGCCTCCTTGACCAGCCTGGCAAGTCTCCTACCAAAACTGCTCTTCCCCTTCATTGCCAGACCAGATCAGGCCCCAGTAGACCTGGCCTACACGCTTGGGTCCGGTGGTCAAGACACCCAAACCCCTGACTATGACACCATCCTTCTAACCATTTATTAACCTGGCCAATCCTCCTAGCTTTCTTTAAGGTCCTCCCCTTTATCTTGGAGGATTAACAAAAAGACAATCTGAGCTCCAGAGCCCCTAACCACCTCTCCCAGAGCTCTGTAGACCTGTTCTCCAGGCTACTTCTGCCTGTATCACTAGCACTCACATGGATTGCTAGAAGTGGGTAATAGTCAGTGGGACTTACTAGAGCAGGCAGCCTCCCTGCAACATCCCTGATCTGTGCCCCTGGTAGGCAACACAGCTCCCTTGAGATGGGGTCAGGCCGACAGATGAGCGCTTCTGTTCCTTTCAAAGTAGAGTCCCCTACTACTATGACCCACTGCTTTTTCCTGGCAGCACCAGTAGAAATCTTTAGCAGTGCCCCAGCTGGTTGTTTCTGGTGTGAGTATGTTTCCTCATCAGTCCCCTGCAGGACAGCAAATTGGTTCTGGGTGGGGATAACAGATTTAGGAGGAAGCCCCATGCTTTTAATTGTCCTCTTCCTCTTTGTTGTTTTGTTTTTTTTTTTGTTGCTGTTTCCCAGCTTCCTGGGGTAACAGCCTCCTTCTTTCCTACATGAGCTACAGGGGATGCTTGAGGCCCTTGCACAGTTTGGGCCTGGAGCAAGCAGTCCTGCTTCCTCTCAGCTTCCCTGACATCTTGCAGCCTATTAACAGCATTCCGCAGCTCAGGACCTCCACCAGGGAGCACGGGGTGCAGCCCTGCCCATTGCGCACCCTTCTCTCACAAGACCAGTGGAGGCACTCTCTATACTCCGGAGCTCTGCACTGCAGCCTCTCCTCTCATCAGCTCTGCCTGGGTGCCTATGCTGGCCACCACCAGGGCAGCCAGAGCAGAACTCTCAGACCAGGGCCTGGTCATATGGCGAGTGCTCACCATCCTGCTCGCCCGGGTCACTCGCACTCCTTGGGGCAGGTTTTTAACCAGTCAGGGCTGATGCCGCTCCTCCTGGCTCCACCCCGTGTGAGTCCCTGCTAGTGTCAGCTGAGCTGCTGGCTCCTGGGCAGGTCCTGTTGAGGACTTGAGGCTCTCTCGGTGGCTCTTGCCACTGAGTTGAGGCTCCTGGATGCTGATCTTCCCCCTACTCAGGTGTTGAAGGCATCCTCTCTCAAGCTACTCACCTCAGCAATTGTTAACCCAGTTCTTATGCTTATAAACATTCACAGCTTAAGTTTTATGCAGTCTCGGTAGCCTCCCATGGAACATCCTTGAAGCATACCATTCACACTCGGGCTACTAACACCGTGGGATTTTAATTACCTTGTGCTGCTTGAGTCATGCTGTGCTGCTTGACTGTTTTCACAGAGGAGCTGCTTTGTCAGAACCAATTGTTACACTGATTTTAATCCCTCCTTAAAGACCTAACTTCAGCTAACTGCAGCAAAGGCACAGACTGTTCTGTAAGAATACCAGAAGCCATGATGCTGTTAGGGCATCATTCAAACTGAAGAGCCAAAATAAAAGGTATTGAGGGAGCATATCTTAACTGCACAGGGAGTATTTATAAGGGAAAAGTTAGCAGAAAACACATTTGGGAAAGGCATTAAACAGCATTAAACACCATTAGCTTTATATCATCTGAGCTTTATGGCTTTTTTTTAATGCATTTGCCTTTACTCATGCATCTCACTGCCTGCTCACTTCTGGTTCTTCAACAATAGACCTAAACCTGTAAAGCAGTAGCTTCAGGTTAACCTGTACCTTTACTTTTCCAGCACCTCATGATGCCTTCGAAGTACTGGGCACAGACAAGTGCCCACTGGGTATGAAGTGAATGCTAGAGCAGTACAAGACTAACTTCAAATCTGTGAGCATGTTTTGGACCAGTGGAGCAACAGCAGGCATGGATGAAAGAATAAAAAGTCTGAGAACAGACACACATCACCTTAGTGCCCTTTTCCTTGGGCACTTCCTCACAGTGCTCTGATCTTCCCCCTCTGTTAAAAGCAGTAGAGGGAACGAAGATCACTAGCTCCTGCCACATTGCTACAGACAAAGACCAGTAAGAGAACAGGAGTTTCTACTTGAAATCAGACAACAGGACTTAGATGAAGAATTTTAAGTTCCCTTATAAGCTTAACAGAACAGCCTAAGATGCAATTGGCAGAGAAGAATTAAGCAAATTTTAAAATGAATATTCAACAGGAAGTACTTTGAACAAAAGGTTCAGATGAATCCTGACAGTTATCTTTAGCCTTAGAGAAACCATGCTGCCTTAGGTTCAGAAGCCTTCCCTATCACAGAAGGCTAAATTAATTCCCTTTAAGGGACAGGATCCCTAAACAGGAGATACAGTCCAACCACAATGTTCAAACACCTACCATTTGCAAAGTGAAAGAAATCAGAGTATTATTCATTCTGAAAAGAGAACAGCTGAAATAATTTAGTTCTGTTAACTCAGCTACCAAGTTCAGTTTTTCATTAAATATCCCAATCACCTCCACCTACCACGCGCCGGTTTAGTTCACAGCCAAATTAAAATTTACTCTAGGTACACATCTAAATGTGCTCAAATACCATAACAGTCCAAACCAATTAATGGTCTACTAGACTGTTTTGAACCATAAATTAAGTTAGATGTCAGATGATCTTAAGAATCATTAGGAGAACAAAGACAGGTCAAATACTTCAAGTGCTCTCTGCATCCAACAATAGGTTTGAAGAATTTTTCTGAGGCAACACAAAGTGTTCAAATGTGTTATTCCTGGTACTACCCAAAGCACCAAAACTGTTTCAAGGACAACTGATGCCTGATGACCCACAACCTTCTGACAAAGACGGGCCTAAATGAGTCAGAGACCTTTACCACTGGCATTAACAAGTCTTTTATCAGTCTCCTTATAGCAGAGCTGTGACAAAAAGGGAAAACACATGATCTTCTCCATCTCAGTCATTGTAGAGTGTAGCCCTGGGACTAATAGTGCTCTGTATCAGCCTTTTCTGCTTCTAGACTTTCAGCTCTGGAGCTTTGCTAATGAGTGATGCTCTAGTTTCATGGGTTTTAGAACAGTTATACAAACCGACTCATCTTGCTAAAAGCATTTCCTGATGACACTACCGTGTCACTGCATCTTTGTACATGTTTTCAAAATTAAGTAAGCACACTTAGCTACAGCATGTTCCCCCATAAGGAAATAACCACTATACCTGTCAGAGAGAAAATTTCCTATTGGAAGTCTTCAAAAACAGTCATTGTGTAAGCTAAAGATGAGAAGAAACAGTCTAAGTATAGAGAAAGGGAATGTTACAATCAGCCTTAGCTGGTATCCACAAACAAAAAGGGGGGAAAAAATCAGGTCCTCAAAGAATTTATAAATAAAAACACCCAAGAGAGAACAAATAAATCTCAGTCATTCTTAAAGCTAACCACTAAAACCACCTAAAACCACAGTAAAAATCTAAAAGAGTTACGCATAAATTTATCTTCTGACATAACAAAAACTTGCAAGGAAAATAAACCCAACCTGAGAAAGGTACATCTCTCAGAACAGTAGAACTCCAGCCCCTCCACAAGGAAAGCCATCCGTCTGAAGCCACTTTACTGCTGACACACAAGTACAGTAGCTTGGAGGAGAACTTGCAATACTGCATTCTATTTCTGATCAGCTCCAGGGGGCTCACAACGGTAATGGAACCAACTGCAAATGAAAAAAAGGTGGGGTTGTTTTTTTCTTTTCCTAAATCAACTATTACTGGTAATATTTCTGGAACATAAACGTAAGGTCTCACCTTGCTTTATACATTTGATTCATCTCTCTCATTTGAAATAATTCCCCAAATAAGCTTCCTTTCCAGATAAGAATACTGTATCTATTCACAGTACCTGATCTTTATGGACTGACAAGTTACCTACTTTTTTTCAATACTGGCATATTGTAATCCACGCCACATGTTAAGAATCATCATTTTTGGATTTATTGCATAAATAGGCTGACAATTTCAAGCACTCATAAAAAGTAACTTTCAATAATTGCCATTTTTAAGTGCAACTTGAAGAAAGTGAGCTTGGGGTTTTGTTTTGGTTTGTTCGCTTGTTTCTGTTGTTAAGGACAAAAATGATGGCTAGAGATTAAGTTTTTATTGATTTCTAAGCATCTTCTTAGCAATTTCTAAGCAACTTCTCCCGAGTAACAAGTGATAGGACAAGAGGTAATGGCTCTAAGAGGAAGTATTCTAAAACCATGCAGATGAGGCCCTCACTGATATGGTTTAGTGGTGGTCTTGGCAGTCCTGGGGTAATGGCTGGATGTGATGATCCTGAAGGTCTTTTCCAACCTAGCTGATTCTGTGATATTTGCTATTCTTATTTTAAACTATCAAGAACGTGTCTGATAAAGTAACTCTCCTTTACCTGGTAGAAAGTGAGTCACCACTCACTAACAAGCTCCCATCACACATGTAACAGACTTCAATGATTTTACTAGATCCAAGCACTTCCCTCCTATTGCTGGGGTAAGGTTTCCTTGATATGTGAATTTAAAATCCAGAGCAGCCTAATAAGAAAAATTTGCCACATCAGCACAGAATAACAATTCTTTTTCCGGTAGTCTTCCAGTCCCCCCTGTATTTTCACAAGTAGAATATAGAACTAAATCCTTAAGTGCCTTCTAAGAAAGCCCCAAAACGTAAGACCTGAGCTACTTCTGTACAAAAATGTATGAGGAAAAAGATAAACCAAAGTAAGAAAATATAAATAGAAATTAATTCCCCATTACATCATACAGCAATAAAACCAGTACAAGTCCAATTTTCACTTCCCATGTAATTACCTATGTAGCTTCCATTATAGAAAATAATGCTGTTTATTATTAGATTCATAACAGAACAGAATTAAACTGTCCTTGGCAGAACCCTAAAACCACAAAATTCTGAACAAATTACAAATGTTGTGGAAGTGTAACAGTAAAACTAAATCACATTATTACAGATTGGAGGGTTATGTTGCCCAAGAAATACTGGGTAATTACAGTATTCCTTCTTATGCCCAGCTTCATGTAATATTATCCCTCATTTAAAGCCACACAAATTTACTTGATAAACCCAAGAAAACAGCATACAGGTATTTTATTTCAGTTTTTTCTTTAAACAAATGGCAACTTACATCTGCTTAAGGAACCTGCAAGAACTGGAACGTGCTCATCATCCTTTCCTAGTCCAGATTTCAAAGCTTCACTCAGTTGGTTATAGCAGGTTTACTGTGGTAGGGAGTGCCATTATTCTAAAAAATAAGAAAGGTAATCTAAATTAATACCAGGAAAGCAGAAGATAAAGTCAACCATCTTTATCGACATTTTGTAAGGAAAAGAGAATTACAAGAAGAGATCTGATAACAACATTGAAATATGTAAACTGCTCTTGTAGAGAGAAAATGAATGATCCATTTTTCATGACAAAGAAAGAGGATTCTAGTTAGATGTTAAAAAAAAGGGGGGGGGGAAATGAGTGTGGAAAGAGCTGCTGATAGCAAGTCATTAGTCACAATTTACGGCAGCAAATACCTATAAAAAACTAGCATTCTCTAACAATCATGTTCAATCCTATGATTCCATGATGCTCAAGGGGATGATTGCATTAAGTATACCACCTCTAAAAGGAAGAACAAAAGCCTGATGCTCCTGTTTAGCTACTGAGAATGTATCTAAGAAGTTACAACGAGAAATCTCAAGATTGGGCAAAATTATTCTGTCTCTAGATGTTTTTGATCAAACTGATTACATCATTATCTGTAACTTCAGAATTAACCACATTTTTAACATCACTTCAAAAGAAACATACTAATTTGTCTAAATAATGAAGTATTTTTTAAACAATAATTCATAACATGTTACCAAAAAAAGAACATTCAACTTACAGTGTTAGGGGAAGTCCTCTCCACAGTGACTTAACTCACTCTCTTTGAGTAATTTTCACAAATGCATCCTAAAAATACAACCAGCAAACAGCAACAATTAGCTCCAAGCTTTTGTATTCAGTAATATACTTTAGCTGTCAAAAGACAAAATTAATGTATTAAAAAGTGTATTTCTAAAATGGCTTATAATTTTAACATCTCACTTTTGTAATTGCTTCTGCTAGTTACCATATTTAATCACACATAGGTCCTCTGAGCTGAACAGAAATTTGTGTGATTAAAATCAAGAATTTCTTTCCATCTTTAAAAGGCCAAAGCAGTAAGTTTTTATCAAGGACTGACAGTCCTGTGAAGAAGTCATTTTCAGAACTAATACAGTATGCAGCAACATGTGGAAACATACCCAAAATAATACACTAAAATACTTTTTTTAATACATAACAAAAGTTCTAGGCATAAAATAGCAATTAACTCTCAATGATCCTTCAATACTTGCTTTCTCTGACAACGTGACAACATATGTGCAATGCATCTATACTATACTATATATCTGGTAGCTTACAATGAATATCATAGCTGTCCCTTATGATCCCAGACCATTGACAGCAGAGAAAACTAAAACTCGAAGTGCAACTGAAATCACCATGAAAATGACAAACTCCTTAATACTAGGATACCTTATTTTCTTAAACATCTGGGGGAAAAAGATTGAGATTTGATGGCTTAGAATATGCTGAAGACCAGACATTATCAAAAGGCCTCAAAACATACAGCCCAACAGACCATAAAAAGGAGTCACAGAAGAAAATGGTGAAGAGCTTTAGAGGAGACAGCTTTGATAGGCAGATCCACTGAAGTAAAAAGTTGCATGGGGAAACAAAGACACGATTTACTAAAACAAGCCTGACTTGAAAAAATGGAACTTTGAGAGGGAGTCAAGAAACCCTAAAAAGTCTTAACATGATTTGACCAAAAAGGGGTGTCTATAATTTTTCAAATAAAATTCTGTAATTAGTTTAGCTAGTTTATATGTTTATAATCCAGCTTCAACAAATTTACAATACAGGAAGGTACAGATAAAACGACTGGAGAAAGGAGGTAACAGAAGCCCATATTTATATATCTTGCTAACTATATGGACAAATATATCAAAATATTTGTACAGTCCTACCACCAGAAACCTACAATGTCCACTACTATTTGCTTTACTGCAAATTGTTCAGCACTGAGGGTTTTTTTAACAATGATATGACAGTCATTGCTCTTTATGGATCATATTACCACAGGAAAAATATGCACAAATTCATGTCATTAGAAAACTAAGCAACTTTCTAAAAATTATATAGTAATGTTAAGTAAAAAATTTAAACTTATGAACTTATTAAATAAAAAAGGTAACACTGTAAAACTGCTCAAGAAATTGGCATGACCATTTCATTCCTCTTGGAAATGTAATTCTAAAAATTTATTATCACATGTACAACAGAGACATGTCAAACAATATCTTCACTAATAAAGCTGATCAGTGTCCAACAGCAGGTCTGCTTCTGGGTAAAATCCTAGTCCTACAAGTTTCAATGGATCCAGAACCTAAAGCATGAATTTAACTTTAAAACACTATCTGCATTGTCAGTTCAGCTCAGCAGCACACTGGTAGCTCTGTGGACAGAAGAGCTGTAAATGGGTACAGAAAACCAGTACCTGCAGGCACCAACCCCTGGTGATGTGACTCAAGTGGCAAAAATAAATCAGAGGCAGTATCCTGTGAGGAGAACTGTGCAGCTGCCCACTTGTTTATCTTAAGGAAGGAAGAAGTATTTTCTTGTAGAAAGTAGGAGGCATCCTTAATCGCCATATAAATTACACTGTAACCACAAAAAAATCCTGTCAAAATGATAACAGATTCTACTACAACTTGAAAAAAAAAAGCCAATAAATTTATAGTATGCTATTTAAAAATGTTTTCAATCTATGGTTTTATATAAATGTAAAATGTTCTTACCGACCTCCCTTTGAAATGCCCAGGTTTTTTATACCAGGCTTTGTGGTTCCCATTGTCACAAACACATATATGATCCATAAGGCCACTGGAGTATACAAAACACTTTCCTAATAAAATGGTATATAAGAATATAGTTAATGCTTGTAAAATTGTTCTTAGCAGCAATTTGAAACTGGATATAACGGTAACACAGATTTGTCTCTGGTTAGGCAGGGAGGGACAAAATAATCTTTGGAAATCAATGACAACAAATTAGGTAAAAGGAAAGAGGGAACAAATGCACTCCTCAGAGTGCCAGGCTTAACAAAACTGCGCTTGCACGCTCAAGGAGATATATTTACGCTATATTACCATCTGCTGAAGACTAAAACCAACACAAGACCTGAATGCTTCTACTGTATGTAACTATGTGAACATTTTTCAGATTTTTAAAGCAGCATCTACATTACAAGTGGTGGTGTTACATCTTAGGTTAGACTGCATTTATACTAGATCACCCTCTTTTTATTTCTTCTATGCCATGTACTTTGAACCTGTAAAATACTATTGCCGTTGCAAAAACATACTTTGAGCTTCACATTTACATATTTATGAAGGGTTTACAATTTACAAAAAAATAAAAAAACAACCCAGGACAGAGCACAAGATTTTTCCTGACTCACAGCAAGTATAACCACAAATATTCATCTCCACGTACAACATGGAATACCAGTTATCTCCTTTCCTTTCAAATCTCATCTATTAATTACAACTAGTAATTAATAGTAGAACTCATTGGCATATCGTTGAGCACACAATGTCTTTATCTATTGGCTTCTTCTGGCTGCGGCCAATGACTTAGGAAAGACTACTCTTTTCAAAGTCTCTGGATTCTGGAGGAGATAACTTTAATACTGCATTGTGACCACAAAAGCCTTCTAATAAAATAGTTACTTATTGATAGCTTTTTAAAATTTAAACTCAATAGTAATAGTTGTACCTTCTGCTACAACAAAAACACTAAGACAGGAAAAAGCCTGTTTAAAATGGTATGTATTTACTACATTTTTTTCTACTGCGTCTGTTCACTGCCACATTCCTTCTTTAGCAATTTCAGTGTGCTGCTGTGCTGCTTCCCCGTGCCCCCCCCCCTTACTCTGAAGAATCAAACGTAACTATTGCAAAACAAATGAAAACATTCTGTAGCTCAGCATTATGATAATGATCAGCTACATAAAAAAGCAAACTGTGTCTTCCATCACACTACACATTTATTTACCTTTGGAGAATGGATTGCTTTGGGCTTGCAGTCGAGTTTTGGTAACATCAAGAGGAGTTACTAAAATGAAACAGAAGTCATTTAGAAACACTGCATGCCCTGAAAATGTGGAAGTGTACAGATGCCTTATTATGACTTTTTATCTATGAAGTTTTTTTTTCCCCCAGAGGGACAAAACAGATCTGGTTTACAACACAAATTAGTCACACCTTAACTCTCTATTGATGCCTCTCAGCTGACTAACAGGAGGTTGAATGCTTGGCTTACATTCCAGTATCTAAATGTAGGGAATGTAAATGTGACTCCTGCAGCTCCTTTCAGTGGTTTAAAATTTGGCATCCTGTAGCATTTTAGCCACTCACACCTATTCTGGCTCACCTCCAGCTGCCACTTCAGAAAGGAGCCAGTCTCCTATACCTCTTGAGGTCTCAAATACCAACACCTTATGCTGTACTAGAATCTTACATACACACAATGAAGATCCATCTTGGGAATTACACAGGTCTGATGTAGCTTTGCTTGCTACTTTACCTAACATCATGGGACACGGTATAAATACAGAATAAAAAGTGTATCAGTTTGATAGTTTTGTTATCAGATCATATTTTGTAAAAACTTGGAAATTGTGGGTGAAAAAATCATGCTTAGAAAATTGCACGCTTCCCTGCTGCATAATCTGCATAAAAAGTCAGAACCAAAGCTTAGCTTAAGACAAAATTAACTGAAATATGAAGTATAACTCCAAGGGACATGAAGTGCTGAAGCTAACCAAACACCTTCTTAGGTATGCATGGGGAAGGAGGTCCTGAGTGAGATGCCTGAATATGAAGTAAAAGATTAATTCCACAGACTATGTAGAAGTCTAAATGACTAACAAAAAGCTATCCTTAAAGGAAATGCTTAGGGAAAAACAAATAAACAAAGAAAGAAACCCAATAAAAGGCTTTGTCAGTGTAGGACATCACAGAAGAATAAATTCATGTTACTACTGAAGTGTAGTAACTACATGAAGGAGACATCTCACAGAGGTTGGTCTTGCAGGATTTGTGTCATGTGCTATAAAGTAGACTTAGTTAAATTTATTTTTAAGCAGCAGGAAATGTGGAAATTATTTTTTATTATTAGTTTTGTTTCTTGCAGAAAAAAAGCAATGAACTACTACACTGAGAGGAAAAAAACAAAAATGACACAGAAATGAAAATGTAATAAAAATTTTTCTTATGTTCAGAAATAGTTAGAGATTTCTATTATCCATGTTTATTAAAACACAAAAAAAAACATGAGAAACCTATGCAAGAACATCCTTGTTGAACATATTAGTGGAAACATAGAAACTCTGTAACTCGGGCATCACACTGAGTCACACTGATGAGTAATCAGTATCGCAAAGATTCTCCCTGTGGCAAGCTTGATAGTTTGCCTTACCAAATAATGATGTAATAATAGCTCCACAACATGAAACTATTGCTTGCTGAATAATGGTTGTTTTAGCCGAGTTGCTATCACTCATTTCAGCCACGGCTTTATCTTTGGAGAAGAAAAACCTGTTAAGGAACAGAAATACATTGCAAGACCATGATCAAAACTTGCAGAAAAATCAAGAGAAGAAAAAATTTTATATTTTCATTAACATGTATAGGCAGCAATAATGTAAATATTAGTTTTCTACATGTATGCAACACGCACCTTTATTTTTTTTCAGATTATTTGAGCCATGTTTTGTAAATAATCTGAGTTTTCTAAATGACAATAAAACCTCCAAATCCTTCTTACATTAATTACACTGTTTATCTTTTTTGTAAGCTGCATTAATTAATAGGCATTGCTTCTTGCTTCAACAAAAGGCTTAGAAGCACATAAATAACCTGTACAAATATAACTTCACAGTCTGTGGCCCATAAACAGTAGCACAGCAGAATAATTCATCTAGCCCTTCTCTTGCCCTTGTCATTTCTGTGAGAAAACCCTGAGAGGTCTCCTGGTTGAATGATACTACATACCCTGGCAAGAAGTTCATGTAATAAATGGTGACTAACTAGTACACATGCTATCATGCTATCAATTCCTTGAACAAACCCTACTCTATGGCTGCATAAGCATGGTTACCTTAGGAATGTACCTACAGTACCTAAAAATAAGGAGCTTATATATTCCCTGGATCTGCAACCAGCTAGGGAAGGAAAAAATAATAAATAAAACCATTTCAGAATTTATAAACCCCACGTAATGGTATATCTACTAGCATGTCTAAGTGCAGCTGTAATTTTATCAGTTGGCATTTATCCAAACTTTTTATTTGCTCTACAGGAACATGTTTTCCTCTTCTCACCAAGTTTCAAGTAAAGGATAAGAAAGATTCAAATAAAAGATAAGAAAGATTAAGCTCCGTAAACCAGGATTTGCCTCTCAGATGCTAACAACTACTAACGGGAGGTGGGGGGGGGTCGAGAGGTGTTTTAAACTGTACCTTCAAGCTTACAGCAAAACTGCTCTCCAGAGCAATATATACATAACCCGTCTGCAAGCAGCGACGGCACTCCGTTGACCGGAAACAGTACCTCCCACACTAAAGCTGCGAAGCTCCCTCACCCGGCCGAGGCCCACAAGGTCCCGTGGCGCCACGCCTCGGCCATCCGCCCTGCCCTTCAACCCCGTAGAGCTGCGAGGAACGGCAGCCTGAGCCGCGGGAGGTGCTGAGACCGTTCAATTCTTCGGCTTGCCTGCACCGGTGGGAAGTCGCTGAGCCGGCAGTTTCTCCTGGACAACAATCCTCTTTACACACAGACCTTGCCGCGACCGGGAGGAAAGACTCTCCACCGTGATTTTCGCTGAGGGCTCGCACCTGCCCGCTCGGTCCCTGAAGCGGGGTGTGGAAAGTGAGGGGGTAATGCCCGCTGACCTCCGGCCCGACCACTCCTGGGGCTCCTCTCCCTCCGTCGCCCTCCCCTTCGCGGGAGGGTCTGGGCCGCGGCCTCGCCGCCTTTCACCCCGCCTTTCACCCCGCCCCTCCCCGCCGCGCTCCTCCCGCCGCCCCGAGCCTCGTGACGGGCGCGCCAGGCCGACCGTTGGTGGAGCGCGCGGTTGGTGGCGGGGCGCGGGGCGATCTGTGGGAGTACACCCGCTGCTCGCGGTGGGAGGAGGAGCGGGGCCTCGCGTGGCGTGCCGGGGCTGGCGGCGGCGGGAAAGGCTGGTGAGGCGGAGACCCGCGGCTTCCACAGCGGCTGCCGCGGAGAGGGCCGAGAGCCGCGGGAAGGGCGGGCGGGAGGGAAGAGGCTCTAAGTGCCGGGGAGCTTAGCGGCTCTGCTTAACCCCGCAGGTGTGGCGGCGGGGGGACCGGCGAGGAGGATGTGACTTCGCAGGAAGATGAAACCAAGCGTTGTGGAGGCTGCCGACGAAGGAGCGCGTCCCTGTAAGCGGCGAGTGGCTGGGGCGGCCCAGCGTGGTGAGAGTGGTGGGGTTCGGGCCTTTCCCACAGGCAGCGAGGTCGCTTTGACCTAGGCCTCGTGCTGGTGCCTCCTTCCTGACTGAGGCTGTGAGACCCTGACGTGAGCCTAGCAGGCAGGCATGCCTCGGGCGGGCTTTGTAAGTGGTGTACAGCTAAAACAGAGTTTGCATGCTTTGCGGAATTGAACGTGAAAGTGTGGACCTGGAAAGGTAGCTGGCCCAGTTGCTCTGTTTCACAAGATCCTTGCAGTGCAGAGAAGCTGGTGACTATGTTAAAATTCGCTAGGCCACAGCCATGCAGACAGCTCCACCTCGGCGGTCTTTGCTGGGATCAGGAGCATGCATGGAAGACGCGCTAGGCCCATGTCATTAAAATTCATTCGCTTTACAAGAGAGCCACTTTACTGCAGTACTGCAGACTTACTCCAAAATTCTAACTATACCGAAGTTTAATATGTATTTTCCAATATTAAATTTAGTATTTAATGTGTTAATGTTTGAGCTGCTTTGGCCGACGCGTTTTTGTGCTTCGTATAACACCATGTTTGATCCCTGGTCATGCGTGGAATTTCACTTGCATACCTGCTTATCTTCTATCTTTTCTGTTCACATTTGGAATTGATTGCACTATCCTATGCCTCCCCATTTTCCTGTTTCTCTAATTCTTCTGGTCTCCTGGATTCTACAAAGACTGCTCTTCCTGCTTCACTTACTGTATTTATAAGTTACTTACAGAATCCTGCAGCATGAGTGGTTATTCTGCTCTCTCTTCCATTTAAGATCCTTTCGGGGAGGGAGAGAATACATAACAGAGGAACTGTTTTGTGTATTGGCTCTTTGTCTCCAGAAAAGGCCTGCTCACTTCCTGTAGCAGCCCTCTGTTTCTAGCTTCTTAGAAGAAAAGTAGGTTGTCAGTCAGTGAGGAAGAAAAGAAAGTGTAAAACTAAGAATGTACAAGTCTTGGATGATTCTGTCTTTGCCATTGTAATTGGATTCCTGTGGAAGTATGTAAGAACAGCCAAGGTATAATTATTTTCACCTAATAATGTTATTTTACTTTCCAGCTATGTTTAGCTACAGGGACTTCATGAGTTGCATGTTACTTCTGTGCATTTAGGACCCTGCAAAATACTCTTTTTGCTTGTATTTCTGCAGTCTTTCTTTGAAATTGCATCTTGGCATCGATAGCATTCTTTGGCAGCAAGCTGCACAGGTTTTCCCTGTTGCACAGAGAATCAATTCCTGGTTTTCACTTTGTTCCTGACTCCTAGTTTTGTTTGGTGCCCCATAGCGCTTCTTCTGAAATAGGTTTAGCCATTCTCTCTGTGTTCTTGATTTTGGATCTCTGTATTGTTTTCCCCCTAAATAATTTACTTTTGCAGACTGACAAAGTCTTAATCCGCAAGGTCATTTTTTGACCATCCTACTTACTCTTTTCCAGGCTGTATTTAAGATGTGGCTGATTCCTACATTTATGAAGTGGTGTAATAAAATTACCCATTTTATTTTCTGTTTCTTAACAATTTTGTTTTGTTTTGTTTTTCTGTCTTTAGATTGCTACTCAGTATTGAACTGATGTTCTTATAGAACAATACCCACTCCAAGAATTATTTTGCAAAATAAGGCTTATTTCTCAAGCAGACTGATTACTTGCTTTTTAGAATGTCTAGTATAACAGGCCTGTGTAGACAGCTCTCAGCATTAAGAAAGTTGTTATTGTGTATCAGCACAGTTTAGTTGCTGTATGTTTTTATTTAGTTTTAGAGTAAAATTCATTGGGACAGAAAGAGTGGTGATAACTAGAATGGTTTTGAGCTTTAAGGTTAGTTTTCCTGCATCTCATATGGGTGCTAAAAATTCAGATAAATAGCAGGTTTTTTCTTGTTTCAGTTACTTTTGGCTGTGTTTAGTTTTAATGAATTTATAGGGATCCTTTTTGTTTCAGATGAATGAGAGACAGATTCTGTTCTAAAATTGTGTTCTTGTGACTCAGTGACTGAAAGCAGTGTATATACAGTGGTACAGAGGTAGCAAATACCAAACTGGGTGAGAAAAATTGATGTAATTGTACAGCAACTGAAATAAAAAGTCCATCTTAGGTTAGAATTTTAAGAAAAAACTTAAACTTTTAAGGGCTGTGTGCAGTATTACTATTATTAACGTCTTGGTTTTGACATATTTAACATGTAGCTATTTTTTAAAAGCCTTGTATTGCATGGAAGCTTGTTTTGCCTGTTTCCATAATTTAGAATTTTCTTTTTGTGTGGGTGGGTGAAAAATAAACACAGGTCTGCTTAAAATCCCTTTTCTTTTTGCAGCAGATGGAATGCAAGCAAAAAGTGAAAAGATAAAATCTTCTCTGAAGAATGTGAAAAAAGATACAGGGAAGCTAGAGAAACTTAAGTATAAGCCACTCACTGGGAAGGTGTTTTACCTCGACATTCCATCAAATGTGATCTCTGAAAAAATAGGAAAGGACCTCAAAGAGCTAGGAGGGGTAAGTTAATGAGCTCTCTATAAAACTAGATGAAAATCTACGCGTGTAAAATGCCTTTTCCATGATCTTTGTGTATGCATTTTGATGTTTGTATTTTATTTTTGACAGGATTTTACTGTATGTTTGTCTTAATGTTTAATATGAACAATTAGCATATCAGCAGTATTTTGTGTTTTGGTTTTTTTTTGGTGTTTGGGTTTGTTGTTTGTTTTTTGTTGTTGTTTAGGTTTTCCAATTGATTATTTATTTGCTTAAAATTTGGTCCAGATTTAATAAATTTCATTGTTGGAAATCATTACCCGCCCGTCCCCCCTTGCTGCTTCTGACTGTATTGACATGTTTGCAATTAAAATTGTTCATCTGAACATAAAAGACCAGAGGAAGTGTTTTGCATACGGTTACTAAAAGTAATGTCAATAAGTACTTTCTGCATGGAGTATGTTAATGAGTATTTTTAAATACTCTTATTTAAATAATAGATTTTGTAAACAATTTTTTTTTTTCTTTAACTCTCTTGCATACGGAAGAAACACTTTGATAAAGGCAAGTACAGGATATCATAGTAACACAGAAGCAATGCAGTTGCTTAGTCCACTTTAAATATTTTGAATTAATGTAAAGGAGTCTTGGCAGTTAAAATATTAAACACCCTTGAACCACAGAAGCAAAAGGGATCTGCTTAAATTGCTCGGTATTCTGAACACTGCTTCGGCAGTACTTGAATGACCTCAAGGCAGTGCTGATTAGTTCTATGAAATTGACACTTGTAAATTCAGAATGGTTGGAAGTTCTAGTAAAGGCATGTAGTAGCAATGACATGGTTTCAAGTTCAATGGGTCTTTTTACATTTAGCATTAAATGAGTGCATGTTATCTTTTGTCTTTGTCTAAACCAGAGTTTTAGGGATTCATACGTGAAAGGTAAAGTTGCAAATCAAAGACTGAAAAGGAAGTTTTTCTATTTCAAGGAGTATATGGCTGAATCTGAAGTGTCCAGCACCTTCAAGATCAACTACATGTGTTTTGTTGTTACTTGTGGGGAGTGCACTCAAAAGTGCCATGCTCTGTATGTCCCAGTTCTTTTAAAGGTACATAGAGCAGAGTTGGAAGGCACAGGTTCAGACTCGCTGTCTGTGCAATTTGTGTTTTCCATACTGATTAGTGGAGAAGAGGAAAACATTTTTAAGCTATGTAAACTGGCAAAAAATTAAGGAAAATAGAACTGATCATCACACAGCAGTTGGTAGCAAATGACTGAAGGAGCAAAATGGAAGAGAATAAGCATAGGACAATCACATTTTTTGTCTTACTGAGCATGAAAATGTTATTAATCTACTTGTCTTCTCATTTTGAGAAGTGTTGCAAATCTCTGGCAGTGTTCAAGGCCAGGTTGGATGGGGCTTTGAGCAACCTGGTGTAGTGGAAGGTATCCCTGCCTGTTGCAGGGGGGTTGGAACTAGATCATCTTAAGATCCTTCCCAACCCAAACCATTCTAGGATCCTATAAATACTGTAGGTGTGAAACATGGTAACTATCCTGATATTTTGATTTTTCTGTTGGTTCTAAACTTGATACGTTTATAGCTTCCTGCAAAATGTAAATTATATTTGCATACGCATGACTTCAAGTTTAGCTGAACACTTCTATGTAATTTCTGTTACATAAAATCATAGAAACCGGTTTCTTGAATTCTCTTATTTCTCTGTACAGTGTTTGACTTCTATTTGTAAAGTATTCAGCTAGATTGTTCAAAGAATGATAATAGTGAAAACAAAGGTCTTTTGATATATACTTAAAAAATAAATGGAAATTAAAATTTGTGACTAATAAGATGCTAGTATAGCCAAATTGTAATTACCATTCAGTGTTTTTTAATTATTATAGAAGTTTTGTCACTTTTTGTTAAAGTATGCAATGTAAGAGTTACTGGTTTACAGTCCTGAAATAATGGCTTTCTATCTTTATATTTAGAGAGTGGAGAGTTTTCTTAGTAAAGATATCAGCTATCTGGTGTCTAATAAAAAGGAGGCAAAATTTGCACCAAGTCTTGGTCAGATTTCTCCTGTTCCTAGCCCGGAATCTACAGGTAATGGAGGAAATAGTTCACCTCATCCTAGCAAACGAAAAGATCGACATGACGGAAGTTCATTTAAGATAGTAGATACAGTAAGTTTCTTAGTATTATTACTGCAGATCAGGTACAACCCATAGGATATGCTCTTACAATCTTTCTCTTGTGTTGTTTTTTTTGTTTTTTTTTTTAAAGATGAACACAATTCCGTGAGTGAATAAGGTTGTTTGATGTTTTGCTTGTTTGGGTTGATTTGTTTGTTTCTGAACAGGTCAGATGTACTTCTAAGCTAGTTCAGGTGAACTTGTTAAACTTGACTAACTAAGCAAAGTTTCCAGTGGTTCCTGTCTCTAGCAACACAGCCTATTAAAATCTGGCTGCTGTGATGTTAACGCTTGTACGTACAGAAGCACTCTGATAGTGGTACAAGGAAATAATTAAAATCAAATGTTATGAATACTATGATTTTCTGAGCTCTTAGAGGATCATGTTAATTGCAGTAATTAGCATCTGAATTTGTGCAGATTTACGAGAAGTTTCTCATAGGGGCAAATCTTGTGTCCTTTCAAAAATGCAATTGGAAACAACTAGCTGTGCTATATATACATGGTACTTATTTAGAACAGTCTGTGGGTTGGTCTTTCCATTGCCTAGGTGAGATTGCCTCATTTTGCAAATAACCCAGATAAAGGCATGCTCATTATGGATAAACAGCATAAAGTACAAAAGCAGATGCAGTGGTGATAGAAAAGATGTGGTAAGATATAGGCTATAATTTTATTCATGAGTGTTAGCTTCATTTGGCACGAGTCCAGCTGATGGAACTTCCATCATTTGGTGTGTGCCACTGGCTGCTTCTCCCCACCATCTAGCACCAGCCATGTAGTGACTTGCTTTGGCTGAAAACAAGTACTTACTGTTTCACACACACCCTTTGCCCAGACTGTCAGCTGTAACTTTGTGGGCAAGATGTGAATTAATGAAAAATAGCAGTACAGTGAACAAAAGGAGACTATCATACCTAAAATACTTATTTGTTAGCAACAGTGTAAATTATCTGACCTTTTGTGTTGTTTTTTTTTTTTTTAAAATGGATACTAACTTACTACAAACATGTTGCTGTTTTAATATAGGTACGTATGAGCAGAGGAAAATCCTTAGTTGAAAAAGCAATCAAGGAGCAGGTAAGCCAAGTAATCAATGAATTCATGCTTGAGAAAGTTTGGATTTGCTCTTGTAGAAAACGAGCAGTAGCAAGAATAGTCTTGGTCTTAAGAAGTCCCTCATGGAACACTGGCAGAAGTCGAGAGATTGTCTTAAGTAAAACTGTCAGGACATTCTTTCTGGGTACTTCCTGAAGAATTGAAAGTTTGTGTAGTCTTATTGCCAATATTACAGTATTTCAGGCTTATTGATACAGCTAGCATTTGAGAGGTGCTTGTGAAGTTAGAGTAAATATATATATTCACTGTCTTGAAATCTTGCTGAAAAATGTGACAACAGAGAACAATTTTGGCTTCATGAAAGGTTAAATGTAATCTTTTGATGGTGAAGGGCTGTGACACGGAGATGGAAAAGTCAGTTGAGGAGACCAGACAGCCTTTTGGTAAGAAGCAAACCATTGGCACTTAGATCACAGCCTTCATGTTACACGATTTAATATAATCATAATTATTTTATATTATCTACTATATATTGCTTTATTATTATAATTTATTGTTTGCAGGATTTAATCCCTTCTGGTAGTATACTATCCAATGCACTGAGCTGGGGAGTGAAGGTACTTCATATTGATGGTAAATATTTTGTTTGATAAAGCCTACCGTAAACTTGTAACATTCATTTAATTATTTTTTGTTGAATTCAAAATACTAAAAATGATAAATTACTTGAGATATACAAAGATAAACTCAGCTGAGTATAATTGTCCCTCTTTTTCCCAGATGTTAAGAATTACATTGAACAAAAGAAAAAGGAGCTCTACCTAATGAAAAGATCAGGCAGTTCTTCAAAAGATGTGGTAAGTGATTCTTTGCCATTTGTGAAAATGCCATTTGTTTCACTGAGAATGCAGGTGTCCTAAATACTACCTACTGTGAAGCTTGCAGATTCTATTTTAATGAAGTCTTGCTCATGTTCAGTTTTTCAGACTGGTATGTTTCATGAACTGATTTAAAAAATGTATTTGAAAAACAGAAATTATTAGCTATTAATTTCAACATTATTCAAAAATAAATATAATAGTAGCATTGATTAAATCGTATATGGATCTTTGCTCTTGCAAAGGATATCTTGGAATCAGAAGTACTGAACTGCCTGAAATGATGTAAATTGCCTTGTATAATTTTCCCGATGACACAGTGGTTGGAAACCTTCCTTTTGATGGGCCATTTTGAAATACCCCATTACCTGAAGAAAGCTGTCTGTAGGGAATCTTTTCAGTCAGTTGCTCAAACCTACATCTCCCTAGTCTTGTAAAGAATTCACATAAAGTATCTTTGAGCTATTCTGCTAATAACATGCAGTTGACATGTGAAAAATCTCAATTTCTCCAAATTTTAGTGTATGATACAGTGAGACATTGAAGCTGTTTCAGCTGCTTATGTTCTCTGTCTGCAGTATCCCTATAATATAAATTAAAGATGTGAAGTTGTATAATTATCTAGTCCAGGCAGGGCTCTGCGATAAGTAAATTAAATGGTAATGTATATAGACCATCTTGTGTATGTTATGTTGTTTCGGAATGCAATAGCAGATACTTATTGAGGCTACATCAAATCCTCTGCTATATCATTAGGGTCCTGGTGTTCATGGATAGCAAGGTGGGGCTTTTTGCAAGTAATATAAAATAGGTGTTTGTACCTTTACCAGAATCAATTACAGCTAACACCTGGTACTTTTTTTCGGAAAACAAAAGACTCATAAGTTTAATTCTCATTGACAAGAAAAACCTGTGTAAATCTCTTCAAATGAGAAGAATTGCCTTAATTGAAGAATGTTACCTGGAATTTTAGTTTGTAGTTAATTAGCATTATGTGAATATTATCTGTATTTAAGAATCAACTTTAAACAGTGGCAGGGTATTTTGGGTTTTTTGGTTGGATTTGGTTTTAGGAAAAATAAATTGAAACATCTTAAGGAGAACTTTTTCTAATTTTCTTTTTGTGCTGTAGAAATATTTCTTTGGGAAACATGTCACCATATTTCTGAAGTAGTAATGAGTTTTAGTTTCCTGCAAATCATATGCATGACTGTGTATGATGTCATGATTAGCACAGGGAGAGCCTCATAACTTAAAAGTAGCTACAGCTAATTTTTTAAGTAAAATGCAGAATAATATTAATGGGGATTTTATACATTTTCCCTTTTTTCCTATAGGGAAAACAAGTTACTACTCAAAAGTCAAGAAGTAAGTATTAGTATTTGTAGAGGTGTATGTTTTGCTTATTTTCTGAATGTTTAAAAATGGACTACAGTTCATAATCTTGTCAAGCATGCTGCTGTATTCTAGTTTGTTTGTCCAAGAAAAGCATATACAAAAACTTAATGGAAATCGAGAGTTTGTCAAAACAGGTACATACCAAGTTCTAAAATAATGTCTGCTTGTTCATTCATGTACTGGAGTAACTTGCTGAATGAAGAAAAGTATTTCTCTCAATTTTTTTTTTTTTTTCCCTCCCTTGAGCAGGTAGACTGAAAAATCCATTTGTGAAGGTAGAAGATAGAAGTTGGTAAGTGTTCTCTTCATGCGTTAAGTGATGTGGCTCTCAAACTTGAGTAATTGAGAAACATTTAGTATGCCTTCAGGAACTGGCCTTCAGATTTGAATTTCTTCCTAGCTTTAGATGCTAGGCATGCTGTTCTCTTAGAATAAGATACAGCATTTTTGTCTTTACATGCTCTGGGTAGCTATCTGTCTTGAGCCACTGAATGAGATTGAGCAAGTATTAGTGTGGTAGGGAATATTTGCAGTAAGTAATGTAAGGGAAAGTTAAGGTATAGCTCCAGACCGTGAGACTGCTTTCTTAGGATTACTTTCTGCCAAGGGCCTTAATGAATGAAAACTGGAAGCTTTGAACCTTGACATCTTTTCTTAGATCCAAATCCTGTTGCCCAAAAGGCCAGTAAAATTTTCTATACTAAATTCCAGCCCTGTATCCCAACTCAGTAACATTCTTCTCCTCAGAAGACTGTTCAGATGTAAGGAAAGTGAAGTTGTTAATTAAAATCATCCTATGAAATTAGGTTTAATTTCCTGTTCAGTCATTTCTTTTTGAAAGCAAAAAGACTCCCTATTCTGATTTCAGTACTCCCATTAGCATGAAACCTGATACTTTCAGCCTTTAAAATTTTTGCATCTTTCTGGTCCTGGAATTGATCAGACCTGGTTCTGTGAGGAAATGTCAGTTTGCCAGAAGTTGAGAGAACAATGGATTATAAAAAAGTATGGTCTGGACAACGTATTTTGCATCTTTATATTCTTAACTAAATTCTACTTTATGCTGACATTTATAAGCTCAAAATCCTTTGAGCTCATTTCTTTGACACTTTCCTGAATTAAAAAGATCCAAGCCTGGTCTTGTGCTGTGAGCTATTCTGATAGAAGAAGGGCATGAAGATAGTGTGGATATTGGACACATATAGTTGAAGAAATTTGTTTATAAATACGTATGCATTTGACTTCTGAACTAAACACAGGAAACACTTTTGGATGTTATGTAATGTAAGCAGTGTTTTTTAATATTTAAATGTTTATGCAATGTTAGTAACTGCTCACAAGATGCTTAGCTGTCCCTGTAATGTTTTCCAGACTTGCTCTTTTTTTGCCTGGGCAGCTTATAATAGTAATATGGGAGAAAAAAGTCAGACTGAACTCTGACATCAGCATTTCAGTCAAATGATTCAGTATGTGAACTTATGACACGCCCTATTTTAAACATTCTTAATATATTCAGTGTGCTGGTATGGTTGCTTGTTCTGTTATCTCTCAAGTACAGTGATATACAGGAAAAAAACCTTTCTGGAAAATGAAAAGGTCTGGTTTTATATGTTGAATGGTGAATTGATTAAAATTTTCAAAAAAGAAGAAAGTGGTAGAATTGGGGAAAAAGAAATGCATTTGATGTTAGGAACTGCTGTAGCTACTTCTCAGGAACACAGACACACCAGTGTCCAAATTGCTTAATTTTATTGGTTACCTAACTCTCAATAATAAATAGGCATGAAAGCCATACACCAGGGAAAGTGTAAGACAGCTATCGAAACTCCAGGCAAATCTATTTTAAGAAAGTATCATGTTTTTAGGAAGGAAGAAATGACTTATTCTAGGATATTTATCTGCTTAGCATTCTGTGTATGATATATGTAAAAGTGAGACACTTTTCCATGATTTTGCCCCGATTGTATTATTGTGCTGTAAACTCCTTTTTCCATTTTGAGGGTTTTAATGCACTTTTTTGTTGTTGAATACAGCCTCTACCGGCCATTTTATCTGCAGTTACCCATTTTTCCAGTTCTGAATTACTGTGTTCCAAAACCGTATAGTCCATTTGAGGTGGATAAGAAGCATCCTTCTGGCCAAAAACAAACGCAGTCTAAGCAAAGGTTTGTTGAAAACTTGTGGAGGTGTGGGTAGTGGGGAGGATGGTTTTCTAAAATTGCTGTGCTTCTAATTTTTGCGATATTTAGTACTAATAGCCATGTCTCAGCTGAGGTATTTGCTGCACTGTAACTGTTGGTGTCTGTCTATCTTTCTGTACCCTCTTTATCCTGTCTTTAGTCCTTTTTTTGGACATACAGATGCATAAATCCAAAAATGCGGCCTTCTATCAGTGTGGGTCAGCATAAGAGACTTTTTTTTTCCTTTCTGACACTGGTTTCTTCTTTGTCCTCATCTTGGATGCCATCAAGTAAGTATTTTACAGGAAATGTATTTATTAAGACTACTTTTAATATTTGTCAGCATAATACCAAAGTAGGCAGCTAGAAATCTTTAAAATTGTGATATTCAGAAATAGTGCAAATCATTGTTGATAAAGTCTAATTTGTACAAGTTAGACTGCAAATACTGCCTCGGCTCTTCAGAGGAGATGGTCTTACAGCAAGTGTTTATATGATAAATTTTGGCATTCAGGCTCAGTTAGAGCACTGCAGATACAGTTAGAACTTTGGTAAATTAGAGATGTGTGCATGTCTACGGGGGTATGATATAATAGGCATCACAGGAACATGGTGGGATGGCTGCTATGACTGGAGTGTTGGAATGGAAGGTTACAGGCTCTTCAGAAATGACAGGCCTGGCAGGCAGGGAGGGGGAGTTGCCCTTTACGTCAGGGATAGGCTGGAGAGTATGGAACTCTGTCTGGGGACAGGTGAGCAGTCCACAGAGAGTTTGTGGGTCAGGGTTAAAGGGAATATAGCTATGGGAGACATTACTGTGGGGATGTGTTACAGACCGCCTGATCAAGGAGAAGCTGTGGATGAAGCACTCCATAGACAGATGGGAAAAGCCTCACACTTGCAGGCTCTTGTTCTCATGGGTGACTTCAACCACCCTGACATCTGTTGGAAGGACGGTACGGCCCAGCACAAGCAATCCAGGAGGTTCCTCAATTGTGTAGAAGACAACTTCCTTCTGCAAGTAATAGAGGAGCCGACAAGGAGAGGTGCCATGCTTGACCTTGTGCTCACCAACAGGGAAGGGCTGGTTGGAAATGTGACGCTCCAGGGCAGCCTTGGATGCAACGATCACGAGATGTTCGAATTTGAGATCCTCAGGACAGTGAGAAGAGTGTGCAGCAAGCTCACTGCCCTGGACTTCAAGAGAGCAGACTTTGGCCTCTTCAGGAACCTGCTTAGTAAGGTTCCATGGGTTACAGGCCTAGAGGGCAGGGAGGCCCAAGACTGTTGGTTGATATTCAAGGGTCACCTGCTACAAGCTCAGGAGTGTTGCATCCCAACTAGAAAAAAGTGCAGCAGGAGGGCCAGGATACCTCCGTGGATGGATAAGGAGCTGCTGAGGAAAATTCGAAGGAAGAAAGAGGCTTATAAAAGGTGGAAGCAAGGACAGGCAGCCTGGGAAGAATACAGGGATGTTGTCCAGGATGCTAGGAAGCAGGTTAGGAAAGCTAAGGCCCAGTTAGAATTAAACTTGGCTAGGGATGTTAAGGATAACAGGAAGGGATTCTATAGGTACATCGCAAATAAAAGACTAGGGACAACATAGGCCCCCTCCGGAAGCTATCAGGAGAACTGGCTACCCTGGATTTGGAGAAGGCTGAGGTTCTCAATGACTTCTTTGCCTCAGTCTTCACTGGCAAATGCTCTGAGCACACCACCCAGGTCTTGGAAGGCAGATGCAGGGACTGTGAGAATGAAGACATTGCGCCCGCTGTTGGAGAGGAACTTGTTTGAGACCATCTTAAAGATCTGAACGTGCACAAGTCCATGGGTCCTGATGAGATCCTTCCGTGGGTCCTGAAGGTGCTGGTGAATGAAGTTGCAAAGCCGCTGGCCATCATATTTGAGAAATCACAGCAGTCAGGTGAAGTTCCCGATGACTGGAAAAAGGAAAATATAACCCCCATTTTCAAGAAGGGGAAAATGGATGACCCAGGGAACTACAGAGCAGTCAGTCTCACCTCTGTGCTGGCAAAATCTTGGAGCAGATTCTCCTGGATGGCATGCTAAGGCACATGAAAAACAACAAGGTGCTTGGTGACAGCCAGCATGGCTTCACTGAGGGGAAATCCTGCCTGACCAATTTGGTGGCCTTCTATGATGGGGCTACAGAACTGATGGGCAGGGGTAGGGCAGTTGATGTCATCTACCTGGACCTGTGTAAAGCGTTTGACACTGTCCCACATGACATCCTTGTCTCTAAATTGGAAAGACATCAGTGTGATGGATGGACCACTCAGTGGATAAAGAACTGGCTGGATGGCTGTATGCAAAGAGTTGTGGTCAATGGCTCAAACGAGTGGTGTCCCTCAGGGATCGGTGTTGGGACCGGTCTTATTCAACATCTTTGTCGCTGACATGGACAGTGGGATTGAGTGCGCCCTCAGCAAGTTTGCCGATGACACCAAGCTGTGTGGTTCAGTTGATACCCTGGAGGGAAGGAATGGCATCCAGAGGGACCTTGACACGCTTGTGAGGTGGGCTGATGCCAACCTCATGCAGATTAACCATACCAAGTGCAAGGTCCTACACCTGCGTCGGAGCAATCCCAGGCACAGCTACAGGTTGGGCAGGGAAGAGATTCAGAGCAGCCCTGTGGAGAAGGACTTGGGGGTGTTGGTTGATGAGAAAATGAACATTGACTGGCTTCAGCATGTGCTCGCAGCCAAGAAAGCCAGTGGTATCCTGGGCTGCATCAAAAGGAGCGTGACCAGCAGGTCGAAGGAGGTGATCCTGCCCCTCTCCTGTGCTCTTGTGAGACCTCACTTGGAGTATTGTGTGCAATTCTGGTGTCCTCAACATAAACAGGACATGGAACTGTTGGACCAAGTCCAGAGGAGGGCCACGGGGATGATCAGGGGACTGGAGCACCTCCTGTATGAAGGCAGGCTTAGAAAGTTGGGGCTGTTCAGCCTGGAGAAGAGAAGGCTGCATGGAGACCTCATAGCAGCCTTCCAGTATCTATAGGGATGTTGGAGAGGGACTCTTCATTAGAGACTGTAGTGATAGGACAAGGGGTAACGGGTTCAAACTTACACAGGGGAAGTTTAATGTTAGGTTGGTGAGGCACTGGAATAGGTTGCCCAGGGAGGTTGTGAATCCTCCATCCCTGGCAGTGTTCAAGACCAGGTCGGATGAGGCCTTGGGTGATATGATTTAGCGTAAGGTGTCCCTGCCCACGGCCGGGGGGTTGGAACTAGATGATCTTAAGTTCCTTTCCAGCCCTAATTGTTCTATGGTGTTGTATGATGAAATCAATTTTATGATTTGAAACTACTAAGGAATCTTAATTACCTGGGTTTTGGTGAATCATACTATTGTTTTTAATCTCTTATACCTAGCATATAGGGAGTATTAATGATTCTTTCATTGGTTTCTAAAACTCACATAAGAGACTACAGATATTTAGGTAAAAGGTAGCTTTGCTAAACGTGAAACTTTATGTATCTAGTAACTTCCACTGCTTTTGTTCTTGGGGTCTAAAGGGTTACTTAGGTATGATACTTTTCTTCATAAAATAGCTTCTCCACTCTTGAGTTCTGTTTAGTCTTCACTATTATTATAGTGCTGCAGGTTTTCAGGTGGTGTTGCCATGCTGAATTTTATTTATTTAAATTGCAGTAAATATAGCAGTATGAAAAAGCAAAGCAACTGTAACAGCAGTAACTTTTGCAGTTGTGAGGCAATTTCTGATGTTATCTCTTCAGAGGAGGTTAGGAAGGCCTATTCTTTTTAAAGCATTAAAAAATACTATTTGCATTTATATGGAATATGATATATTAAAAAAATCAAGAATTATGTTTCAGTGAATGTTCTTATTTAATCTTTTGGGTTGGCACATGCCAAAGAGATTTAGGTGGGAGATTATTTCATCCTCAGCAGGTAAATGTGAGGAATGTCAATTTTGGGAGAGAAAAAGGGGAGTACTCACTTTTTCTATCTGGGAGAAAAAGCTTGTTGAAGCAAAGTTGTCAGTCCCATTTGATTTTGTATTTGGCAAGACCTGCAGCCATTATTTCAGTTTTCAGGTGATAAATTCAGTTGCTTATATTGTGCTCTACTGGTTCTGATTTTTACAGTACTAAGAGGGGAGGTGAAAAGGTTAATGTTAACAACTACACAGTTAGGTGCAGCCTGTCCTGTGGAACCCAACAAATGCTGGGGCAGGCATTACCAGTATAGATTTGAATGGAAATGATCGGTGAAAGCAGTGTACCCTTATTATGCTTGTTTGCTTTTTAAGTGCAGAGATTTTTCAGCGCAGGTGTTTTGATGTGAAGACCTGAGCTTACATCTATGCAGATACTTGGTAAAGTCTGTCAGAATCATTTTTGGCTAGACAGAGAGATGGCACTATTTCTCTAACGTAAAAGGGAAATAGAGATTGACAGTTTTGCTTTACCACTAACACATCATCCTTAGGCAGTTTAATGGTGAATTGAAGCAAATGGTGAATTGAAGCAAAAAACTGAAGCTAGTTCTCTCCAGATGAGGACTCTGAAAATTGTGGAGCAGCTATTGAAATCTCTTCTGTGTTTTAATCTCCAGGAAAAACTTGAGGTTCATTTCTTCCTATTTCCACTTAGCCTGTACCTAGAAAAACAGGACAAAATGGCATTTGGTTAGCGTATTCAAAACCTATGTATAAACCAACAAATGTGACTGTTTTTTACTTTTGCCAAACAATGAGAGGTCATCTGTTAGACCAAGTGGTTTTGCTGCGTGTTTTCTTGGCATCAGAAAAACTGACAGTGGTTGAGATGTTAGAAGACTTTTTTTCCCCCTAGTTTCTGTTTTATCAACCCTCCTTTTATCAGCTATGCACAGAGACTTCAGCATGTCCTGTGTCTTGTCAAGGGGTATTTTTTTGTTCAGCAATTTTGCAGTGTTTATTCTGAGTCAGTAGTATATCTGTACTAACCTGGATGTTTTATGCTTACATACAGTTCCACTGGGTCTGCCAGTCGTTTTTGCAGTAATTTCTTCTTTTTTAATTAATGCACAATTTCTTTTTTTTTTTTTTCCCTAGGCTTTGACTAACAATTTAAATGGTTTGAGCAGAAATATTTTTTTTTATTATTATTTAAGTGATTAAGAACAACCATGCTGGGAGAGGCAAGTATAGAGCTCAGCTCCATATTTGAGACTTATGTTAATATAACTTTTCTGTTAACAGAACCAAAATAAATAGTGACAAGGACTGTGGAACTCCTGTTCAGCTCCCTCAGAAGGACAAAAAAAGGAGAGGATATTGTGAATGCTGTGGGAAGAAATATGAAGATCTGCAAACAGTATGTGAAATGTCAAGTATATGCTTGGATAGTGTCATCTCTCAAGTGGGATATCAGCAGTGTTTTCTACCTGCTAATTTAAAATATTTTTTTTATCTTAAGAGATTTTCTGACTGTATCTGCTAAAAAGCAGCAGGTGGGTATTGTTTTTCCCCATGTAGGTTTAAAGTCTTGATAGCTGCTTCTATATAGGGTAACTGAAGGCACTAGTAGCTCGTGTCTCAGAGACACTGGTAATAAATGATATTTACTTACTGCTCCATATCATACTGCTGACTTGTATATTCATAACAGTAGTAGTAGTTTAGTTTCATGTTTTTCCTTTAATTCCAGCACCTTGAAAGTGAACAGCACCGGAATTTTGCACAAAGCACACAGTATCAAGTTGTTGATGATATAATCTCAAAATTTGTTTACAAGTTTGTAGAATACAAAGATGATGAAAAAATAAAAAGGTAAGTTACATTTTCTAAACTCTCTGAGGTGAGACATTGAGCATAAACATACTTAGTTCTGAAATCTAGATCTGGTACAGAATAAATTCATGTTTTCAGTCTGAAATAAGTTGCTGAAATTTACAATGCAGTTGTACCTGGCAAATAGTTACGTAAAGCAGAAATTAGAGAGGAAAATAAAAATAGTGCAGATGATATCATAAGAAAATTAGACTGAAAAGATTTGCCAGAAGTTGTCCTACCTGGCCTTCAGCTTTAGAGAAGCAAGATCCTGTACTAGAACATTGCTGACAGAAGGACAGCAATATCTGAACATACTGCTCTAAAACCTTTGTCATTCTTAGTAGCCTAAGAACAGCGAATGATACCCTCCTCATTCAGTCTGCTCTCCTTACCAGTGGAAAACTTTTCCTGATCTAGATCTTGCTGTCTGTACTTTGTCTCTTAGCTTCTGACCTGCCTGTGCTGGACAAATAAAGCGGATTTTCCTTTCCTCTTTGTAGCTCAGAAGCTTAAGTGGGCTAAACAGACTTGTTTCACATCTCGGACTGTAGGCAGTAGTGTCTTAGTTCCAAGTAACTGTACCTCAATTCAGGATTGGTCTGATTCGTTGCAAATAAGTTGAGAGATTAGGAATAACTTTTTTGCTTTTTAAAATGAAAAAGTATTGAAAGAATATGGATATTTTTAGTGAAATCAAATGAAATGTGAATAGAGTCGAACAGCTGATAGCCTGATGAAGGCAAGCCTTTATTCCTTTTATAACCTGAAAATAATCAGGTTAGGTTTGAAATGCTGTGCCAAGAAAGTAATGTATAATTACGCTAACTTTTGTGTGTATATATCATAGGATATTTGTATTTATAGAGATTGCATTATGTACATTAATGTCTTCTGTTCTTGATACCACTATAAATTGAGATGTACTGAAATACTAGGCTTCTTACTTCATGTATTTTTAAAACAGTTTAATGAGCTGTAGAAATCAATAGGAAAAATAAGACACTCTGTTCTTACGGAAATAGTGTGTTGCTAGTCTAAATAGATCTTAGCTTTTAAAAGTAAAACAAAAAGTTGCTTTGCCACTTCTGTTGCTTTTCTAGAATCAGTTGCCTATGGAGTTGTTTCCCATGTTTTTTCCAGGCGTGTGTTAATAATTCTAAACAATTTCATTGTAGGACAAAATGTAGTACAGGCTGTTTTTCTCCTGTTATTGGGAAGATAACTAGACCAGATGAGCTGAAAGAACGACTGAAAAAGCAACGCATTTCCTTGAAAAGCTACTCGTGGAAGGATACAACAATGCGGGCACTCAAACCAGATCGCCAGCCTGTGGAAGTACTACCAAATTCTGTGCCAATACCTACCCCTCTTTCTGGGTCTGTTTGTTCAGTTCTTTATTGTCACCTGGCACAACCTTCAGAACTGCAAATTAAGTTCAGAAATAATGATGAAAATACTAAGACTGATTGCTCCTGTGCTGCAAACTTAAGACAGACTGTTGTATCATCATATTTCATACAACCACCCCCTTGGAAAGATGACAAGGCATATACAGAGACCTTGTCTCGAGCTTATGAGTCATCCAATAAGGAAATACTGCAACTAGAAGTAAATGAAAAGAATTTACAGTGTTTTCAGGAGGGCATGTGTACTTTATGTTCTCATGCTGAAGTTACAGAATTTAGTGAAAAGGACAAAAACCCATTGCAGCCAAAAAGAAAATTAAATAATGCAGTAGTTCTACCAGCAAAGTGTTTGAAAAAAACAGATGCCAATCCTACGTTTGTCAAGAAACATCGTGATTTCTGTGATAATCATCAACAGATGCAGCACAATGTAGTTCTGGAGGCTGAGGTATCTGATACTGCTGTAAACAAAGAACTTAATGAATTGGCTGCCAGCACTACACCCAGTTCACCATCTGGAAAACTGCACAGAAAAGTGAAGCTTTACTTTGGAAGAAATAAAAAAGAAACCCAGAAACAAAACCTGGAGTTATGCTTAAAGTATACAAATGGACTGTCTGTTCCTGAACAGAAGAGAAGCTCTTGCAGCTCCCCAGTGCAGGCCCTGCTGGAGTTATTTCAGACAAGTGAAAGAAACTCAGAATTTGGAGGTTTTTCAGGTTACACAGAGAGCAAAGGTACAACTAGCATGAAAGATATATGGGAAGGGCAGAATACAAACGTTGTATGGTCATTATTTTCCTCTTCATCCTCATCCCCATTTGTTGGATTTTAATGCTGCTTTATTTAATATAATAATTTTAAATAAACTTGCAAATTGAAGATTTTATTAATGGAGACGTTAATTGCTGTATTATATGTACAGATGGTTTGGTTTTCAAGTTTTTAAATGCAAAATCTTTTGTATATGTAAATGTGAAAAATAAAACTAAAGTGGGTTTTTTTAGTTGGTTGGTTTTTGGTTTTTTTTTTTTTCCCTTTAAAAGGTACTGGTTTATCACAGCTAGTAAAAGGCCCTGACTCCAGATTTGGGGTTAAATTAGTTGCAAGGCAAAACCAATAAACATGAGATGAGGTAGGTACCTTTGGATAGAATTATTTTTTAAAGTCATTGATTATGGTACATTCTAAATAACCACTTTATAAGTAACTGGAAGTTTCATTGTAAATAAGGTAGTCCATTACTTGCCAACTACTGTTTTGTGGAAATTTGGTTGCTTCCCTTCCTGCTGCTGCTGCTTTATTAGAGAATGCCAAAAAAAAAAACAAAACCAAGGTTACTTGCTTTCCTAGTATTTCCTCTGCTGAAATTGTCTCATGAACCTATGTAATCATAAAGATGTAGCATTAGGAAAGTGTGTATTATACTTTTTGGCTATTATGACATAATTTATTTTTAGACTAAAACTTGTTGTATTCAGTATTTCAGCCAGTAGGAAAGCAATAGGTGTGTGCTTTGGTTTTGCTTTTAAAAAACCCCAGCACAATAACAGCAGCAGAAACAATTACCACAAAAAAAAAAGTCAGTTTCTGATTACTTCAAGTTATTTGTTTGATTTTTCTTTCAGAGTAGCCAGTTGCCTGACTAGCTTACCTGGAGGCAGAGTGAAAGACACAAGTGAGAATTGGAAAGACTTTTTTTTAAGACTTCAAACATTTCCCAGAGGTGATCTCTTACCAGAATTTCTATATCTGTAAATCAGTGCAGGGCATGAGTATGGAATTACAAGAGGTAATTGTAGTGCTTTATTAATAAATGTTAAGTGCCTTAAGGTCATGTAAGATACCTAACCAGCAGAAATCACTCTAATTTTTCTTCCGAAATTACTTGTTTGTGTTTTTATCTCTTGACCATTTATTATTCTCAAGCTTACTCTGTCAGTGTTCTTATAAAGTGGTTTCAGTCGTTGCATACTGTAGTCTGTCCTTTATAGGATAGTGTCTAAGAGGGGGTAGGTAATGTTTCTTAGTGTGCAGGAATGGGTGAGGAAAACAACAATTACTTTCCTTTAAAGAGCATATGAGTTGGGAGCTTAAAGGTGACATTCCTGACTCCACTGTTCATATAATTGCCTGTACATTGGTCTCTCCATCTTAATGGTTACCTCTGGGTTGATTTAGAATTTCTTCTGACCTGGATTCACATACAAAAATTATATAGACAGCCATTACAGAAATTTGCAAAATTAACCTTTTTTAAAGGGGTTGCTCTCAAAGATGTATGTCTATTTATTTATTTTTTTTTTTTTTTGGCCTGTAGTTTACCAATATGTAGTGCTTTAGGAATGGAGCTTTTAAGAGCATTAAATCAGTTACTTTGCTCTTCATGTTGAGTGATGCTTTAACGATAGAAGGATTGCTCAAGATGTGATGAATGCAGGCTTTTCAGTCTATTTTAGGAACAAGTGTTTGACCACTTTTATTGAGAATGTTTTTGTTTGGTTGTGGGGTTTTTAATCTTTTGGTTCAGTTCTAAAGTAAAGTCGAAGAAGAATTTGCATTTTCCCCTAACACATATCTGTTGGTAGGTATCTCTTGTGGACACTCCCCCCTCCTCCCATCCCTGAGACACATTCTCTTAGTTGGTGTGGTGGAATTCTGACTGGAATGCATATGGTTATTCATATACATGAAGATTTTTCCAGTAATTGAATGTTAAGGAGAGAAATAGTTGATGGTAGTAAATCTACATATCAGATAACCGATGTGTATATTTTGCATTATAATATGTTAGCTCAACAGGCACTGAAGAGATTTAAACACACTGGAATCTGGCTTTAGAATCTTAAGGGGGAAAAAAGGTTTATCATTAAAATATGAGAACTCGTAATGCAGAACAAGATGGGAGAGTCACTGCAACTGCAAAGAAAACACTTTTAGTCGTGATGCAGATTTTGTTTACAGATGACTGACAAGTCACATCAGTGCATGCTGAGTCCCCTTTGCATGGAGTACATTCAAATAGCGTCACAAGCCATAGTAAGCTTATTAACTATTTCTAAACCAGATCTATTCTGCATTTATTATATTTCAAGCTTGGTTGTTTTTTTTTTTTTTAATCCCCACAGTTTTCAAAAAAAGGAAAATGAATTATTATATGAAAAAGTAGTGAAATGTGGAAGGCTAGTTATTGGGACAGTTGTCTGTGTCTCTGACTTTCTCCTAGACAAGAGAATCAGTATTTTCAAAATATGTGGCCAGGATTTCTAGTAATGTCAAACATTTCAGGCAATCACCACCACAGCTGCGTCTGTAGTTACTAGAATAAAGGGTTAGCATTAGAAGTGTGTTTTATTTGTAAGTACATCTTTGTGATAATTCCATGTTATATAATTACAGTTTGAACTCTAGGCGCATGAGTTTCTTCTCATGCGCTTCACTTTTTTTATTGTCTTGCTTTCAGTGAATTTGAGAAGCTGGTGTAAGTAATTTTTATATCCTGTTCAAAACTAGTTGTTAATATGCTGACTGTTGCTTTCTTTGTGTGGTGGTTAGTGGAACTTGGAGCTGTATTCCTGTACTCTGCAGTGTACGCTTATACACAGCATGGGATTTGAAATTTTAATAAGGCACAAAATCTTGACTGTTAGAAAAAAACCCAAAAGCTTTACCACTTGTGTAGAACAGGCATTACTTCATTTTAAGTCTAATTGAAAAAAAAAAATCTAGACTTTTATGTTATAAAAGCACTCTTATTTAAGTGATTATGCTGTGGCCCAGTGATCTCCATAGTTTCTTTCATAGGTATGGCAAGTGTGTTTCTGGGGCTGTGAAACATTGTCATCTTTAAAGTATTAAAATACAAGGTCTGTGCAGGCACACACACATAACATTACTGAAAGCCATGCAGACACTACTGGTTTGGTACTTTTGGATAAGGGTGAGTTGTAACTGATCTTTTCAGACCCATCTTGTTTCATTACCACAGGAGAGAGCAAAATTATTTTCATTAAAAGGCATCTGGCATGGAAACTAGCTACACAATGCAAAGTTGGAATGGTTGTAACAACATCAAAAGAAATACAGGTGTTGAAATCTGCTTTTAGAAATAAAACATTAGAAGTGCTTTACTTCACTTACACCAAGTTAGGTTTGTTATCATTGCAGTAAGTGCCCAACCACTGCCTATGACTGAGCTCCACGCTATGTGTTTGTCTGGAACAGAAATGCTTCTCTTCAGATGAATTTACGGTGTGGTTGAAAGGATGGAGTTCGCAAGGGCTGGGAATGTGTGTGTGTGTGTGTGTGTGTGTGTGCACACGTGCATATGCGTGCACTGACAGATATTCATATGGGTGTATGGTGATAGTGGGGAGAAGTGACTTCAAAACCACACACACGTAACGAAGTTCTGCAATAGTTCCTGAGTTTCATGCACTTGGGTAAGCCCTGTGCTCAGCAGCATCATCTTTAAGCAGTAATCTCTTGTGAAATATATAATCACAGAATATTTGACATACAGCAACAGGTGGATAGGTGACTGAAACGCTGTTCTTCCCCTTTGGAGATGGGGGAAAGGTAGTTACAACCTGAGGAGTACCAAGCATGTTAACATCTGTTCTGTTATCCAGGGGCTGCCAGTGTGTGTTGAGGTGATTGAAGACATGTTCCACCTCAAGCTTTCAACAAAAGGCCGTGCTTCAGTTGTCTAGTCATGCTACCATTGTTCTGTGTTATATTCTAGCCTGTATGACTGCAAAGCATATGACTTCTTAGATACCTCTGTGGAGGGTTGTGTGACTTCATTCTGCACCCTGAAGAACCTCAGCTCCAAACAACTTTGCTAATGTAACTGGCCATGGTATCTACAAAGCTCTTGTTTCAGTCTTCTAAGTGCAGGAATGACGAGAAAAAAAGTGGTAGCTGCTCTTAACTTGTGTAGTCACAGTGTGGGGTGTGGACACGGAATGTAAAAGTAAATACTGTTGGTAATACCAACCAGTAATAATCTCACTGCTGATATGTATAGTGATGGTAAGTATGAACTGAGTTCATTAACCAGGTAAACATTTCTGAAAGTGATGTGGATATTTCTGGGTTTTACCATGCATTCTGTAAATGTTTAGCTTTTGATACTTACAGTATATTTGCTTTAGGGAGTGCAGAATCCAGATAAATGCTGAGCCATCCCAGATAGAGCATCATAAAAAGATTTGGGATGCAGAGCAGATGTTTGCGTGGAATTTTTTCATTTGGTATAAAGCAGCTGCAGATCCAGCTGGCTATCAGAGCTAATCCACTTTTAAAAAAAAGTATGTATTTTTTAGTTGAGGGGGGATCTGACTTGAAGGATCAGTGTCTCAAATATTCTTTTGAGTATGTAGATAGCCAGGGTTTAAAACCCAAGCTTTTTCTGTGACCTTCAGAACAGTTTTGCACCATGGTGCTCCAGTAGAACAGAGGTTGAGAGCCACGCTGTGGAAGTGAACTGCCAAATGATGGTAGTAACTTATGTGGTTCCAAGCCCTAGGCAGAGCAGGAATTTGGATGTGGATCTTGCATATTTTTGGCACACCACCAGCAGATGTCACGTGGGATTCATGTTTCCCAGTACAAGGCCTGCAAGCAGGGTCCTTGAGCCTCAGAACCTTCATAGACCCTGGAAAAGGAGAGTCTTCTGGTCACTGAAAGATTCACAAATCTCGTCCTGTATCCTGCATTCAGGTTGGTTTTGTTGAGTAGCTGTTTAGGTTATTTCTGAGGATATTTTTATAGCTAACTTGCCTGACATACTTTAGGGGTTACTACAGAAGATCTCACCTGGAAGCTCCTAAGTGAATGCAACCTCTGTATGTTATAAAACTTGCATGAGATCTCTGAATATTTTTGGCTTTGATGGTGCGGATTTCCAAACCACTTGCCACTGAGCCAAATGCTTCTTTGTTATTTGATTAATGAAAACTTGAGCTTTCTTCATGCCACCAGATTTTCTGAGAAACTACCAATACCAAACCATACTTGTAGGTACCCAGTCCAATCTCCTAAATTCCAAGAGTGGTGAGCAGCAGTCACAAGAAGTGCAAAAAGGATCCTGTGCAATGACTAGATGCAGGATGGAACCCCCAACAAAACAAAATCCTATTTGTAAACTTAGATTGAAACAACTGGACAAAGCTCCTTAATCCAGAGCTGACTGTTCACCACTACAGGTCCGTTGTTCTTTCAGTCCATTAGAACTTCCTGTTCCTCTCGAGACTGAGAATTTTGAAAGGCATTCAAAAGTATGGCCCAAGTCAAGACTTCAGTGGACTAACTACTGCTGAATGGAAGGATATTTGTTCTTAATCAGCTTTTAATTTACTAGGTTTTAAATCAACTGAAGGTCATTTTTTTAATGCACCATTCTGCCTGAAGATCAGAAAGCACCAGCTTACTTTCCATGTGCTACCTATAGGATGTTTTATTGTGTTCCTCTGCTCATCACCATCTTGAAAATTCCTGATCTTTCTGGTTTTGTCACTGTCTTTGAACCTTGCAATTTCCTCACTGGGAATGCCATGTGGTGCTCCAGATTAGGCTGTACCTCTAATTCAGTGTCAAAACAGATTCTGTGTGTTGTGCTCTGTATTTAGACTATAGTTGCACATGCTTCTTGTTTTGAGGTAATATTCATGGTCTGCACTAAATAACCAACAGAGTCAAATGCTTCTATGCCAGAAGGTCACTGCTGTACAATTGTGCAGTAAAAATACACTGTTGACTGTAATTGGACATAAAACTGGTACTGATACAAGAAAATTTAATTACCATGTATTCAGAGAGTAAATGTGGTTTTCATATGGAAACATTTAGGGCAGTACCCTTATGGTAATAGGTGTCCAGATGAATAGAGACAAAATATTTGTAGATCTGCCCTTTACGAGGTCTTTGTATTGTTTTTATAAATTTAGTAAGTCATGATTGAATATCAACCACTGAGAGTGTAATTGTTAAAAAGTGCCCTAGATTTCAGTTGGAATCTATCATATTTGAGAAAACAAAGGTTGCTGTGTGTGGGGAGAAGAGCTATACTTTCCACAGTATTAAGCTGCTTAATGTTCTGTAATTGGAATCAGTGTTGGTCTTCCATCATGT